CCGTATGTCCCCCTACTTTCCTTGTCTCCACAGGTGGGTGGTTTTCACCCACCATGCCTTTTCGGCATGATTGTATCTTGCCACAGACCTAAACCCCATGCAGCCATGTGACCAGCAACCACTAACCTGAAAAGATAAGCCAAAATGAACCTTTGCTCTCTTGAGTGGTTTGTCCTAGAGATTTTTGTCACAGTGATGGAACATCAATTAACACAGCACTTGGGGGATAATGAGATAAGTTCAAAAGGACAGTAGCTAGGACATTTGTTCACTTACTCCCAAAGTTTGAAGGAGCTGTAGTTGCCAAGTTAGGATGCTTGTGGCCAAGCTTTGCACCCAACCTTTGGGCAGGGCTCGGGCATCAGCTCTACATGCCATGCTTCTGATTGACCAGCAGAGGGTGATAGAGGGAGCCTGTACTCTGGTAGCACCACCTGCCCTTCAGCCCCGTGGTAAGCAGGTAAGCAGGAAAACCCAGTGCCCTGCCCAAAAGGTGCCAGCATTTTTATCTGGCAATGGGGGAATGATGGGTACCATGACCTGAGAAAGGAACTCAGGCAAATGTCCCCTAAGACAGAATCTCATTCACAAAATTTTCTGCCTGAAAGGAACAGCCTGTGCATCAAGCAACTGTCAGGTTACCCCCTGAAGTACTGGGAACTGGGAGGGCAAGCAGAATGTCCTTGTTTACACAGCTGTCTCCTGCAGAAATACCAGATACTTCCCAGTCAGGAGCAGGACTGGTACAGCCAGCCGCCCCAGGCACCTGAAACAATTATCTGTGTTTTTGCCTCCTGCCCCTGTCTCCCCACTAGGAGCCAGCAATGCTCAGGGAGTAGGCAGCCAGGATATGCCTGGGCAGGCAGGAGCCAGTATAGCAACTGTAGCATTGAGTGAACCTGGAACCAAGACAGGATCCCCCAAGATGGGCTGAGGGAAGCTGGTGTCCACCCTTACAGGAAGACAGATGAGCAGCAAGATGTAATACATGGGATTGAAAGAAGGGAATGAAACAAAGTTGGCCAGGAATAAGCTCCCGGATCACCTTGACTTCCTAATTTTCAACCAACCTCACAATCTAAATCACAGCTGCCATTTTAGTCCTTTGTGAGGTACTTTATACACTTTGTTTCTCCCAAGCTTTTCTGAGATCTCAGATGACACCTATCAATCTCTGTGACCTAGGCCAGGGCTCTGTGTGACAAGGATCAGGGCCAGTATGTGACCGGGATAAGAACTTAAAGATCAGAGCTCAGTTGTATGTGAACAGAATCAAGGTGCAGTGTATGATCTGTGACCAAGATTAGAACTTAGCTGTGACCAGGATAGGGGCTTAGGATGTGACCAAGGTCAGGGCCAGTGTGACCAGGTCCCAGGTTCAAGCATACCTGGGAGCCAGAGTAATCATTATGGATTAATGAATGATGGCCTGAATTGTGGCCTTTGCTTCATTATCCCAGCATCTTATCTGCTAAAACAAACAATTTCTTTGCCTTCTTCAGGTTGCTGGAGAGATACTATCTTTGCCTGCAAAACAAAACCACTTCCAAGGCATCTTCTGGCTGCCAGAGCAGCAGCCACTCCCACTCTAGCTTGTTTGAATATGAGAAGTGTGACGGTTGCCCCATAGCTCATTTGAGGACACAACACACCTTGAGTCCCTGGCCTTCCATAGACATTGCAATATTTTAATATCAACTTTCCCTTTTGCAATGGGTGTAGATTCACAAAGAATTTGCAAACACAGTTTAACTACTACATGTTTCCAAAATTCCCAACCCTCAGCTTTCCCTACCCCCATGTTTTAGATTCCTGTTGTCTGTTCATTAAGGTTAATGACTCAGTACTGGCCCAGTGTTTTTGTGCAGTTTTCTTTGGTTTTCCCTAAATGTCTCATTTTTGCTGCAGAATCCTATTGAGGGCCCCTAACACTTCATCATCATGACCCCTTAAGCTCCCCCTGGAAAGAGGTGACTAGAGATGTTGCTTGGCTTCTTAGGATCTTGTGAGTTGCCAGTACTGGCAAATAGTGGGGACACTATAAGCAACTAAGGGATTATTCATTGTGAATCAGTGGACAGGCATGGGTCATACTCAAACATGGTGGTAGCTTACACAAGGGCTTTAAACTTAGGAAGCTAGCATGTGGAATGAAGCTCTGTGTTGCTGTGCAGGGTCTCCAGCCTGGTTCTTATAGAGTGACTTCAGAATCTGTGAGCAGCCCATTCTGCCAAGTCCTCAGCACAGGTAGGAAAAGGCAAGGTAGAAGGGTGGGAGGAAGCCAGGGTCTTGATTCCCAAGGAGGCCTTGGGCTCTTGATAGGGAGCCAGAATTCTTCTGAAATGGACTTGAACTCCTCCAGACTGGCAGGGATGGTTGGCCCATGCCAGGTTCTTTCATCTGCCCTGCACTTCCCATGAGTGGCAGTCCTGTTCCTTGTTGGCTTCTGGGAATGGAGGCTAATGCCAGACTAGAAAGATAAATGTTAATTATGGGCCAGCTAAGAGAGTCTAGGCTATAACTAGCACCCATCCAACTGCATGGGAGTGCGATTCAGGTGGCTCATTAGCTTAACAAGAGTTCATCGCAGAGAGCTACAGCCTCTGCACGAGGAGCCCAGCTCCATTGATGGGCAGTGTAGCAGTTCGTCCCACACAGTCTACAAAATCTTTCCCTCTTAAAAGCCTTTTTGAGTTTGGTTGGGGCCAGAATCCATCAGTTCCCTCTTAGGGAACACACTGTTCTTGCAGATCTCCAAATTAGCTTCCCTGACTTCCCTGTTTAATCCAGCTGACATTGTCAGCACAGAGCTTTTGGAAGCCATGAGATTCTGGTCTGTTTCTGAGTCACACTGCCTAGGTTTTCTACTTTCAAGATTCCATTTACACTCTAGAGTGCATATGACTTGCAGCTTCTCCAAAAAAGTACCACTGGCCCCTGGCCCAGCTGCTGTGTGACCATGATTACTTCTGTTAATGTGGGTCCCACCACACATGTGCACACAGGCACCATCCCAAGCCCCTGGTACCGAGAAGCTGGCTCATTGCCTAGAACAGAGGTATCAGTTTTGCCCACTTCTGATGCCTCTGCTGCTCAAGCTCTTTTTTTCTCCTCTTTCACACAGAGTCCCATAACTTCATGGGTACTGGGATGGAGAGAGGCTAAGAAGCAGGCCCATCCAGGTTAGGAAGAGAGAGAACAGTGTTGTCTTATCAAATCACTGGAGGTGTGTGTCAGTGGAAGCTTATATATTCCTGGAGGTGATATGTCTCCTGTACAGAAGTGCCCATCTGGGGTCCACCCACTGGAAGTGTTAAAGCCCATGGGTACAGCCTTGGGCCTACCTCTTTTTTCTCTAGGGCTATGACTGGGGCCCATGCACTGCTGGCTAGCATCAGGTTTGTTACATCACACTACTCCTAATTGCCTGGCCAGCAGAGCAAGGAGACACCCAGACTTGGCAGCTAGCTTGATGGCATCCCAGGAAGTTGAGTCCCGGAACAGAGAGGGCTGAGGCTGCTGTGTCCCATTGGGCCCTGAAAGCTCACTCAAATCCTTTCCACATGTAGGAAGTTCCAAGCTCAGAGCAAACATGAGCTGGTGGAGTGGGTAAACAGAACAGTACCTGGGGAACACCAGGGGTCACAGCCAACAGCACCTTTGGTGTGCAGCATATCAAGGTCCTTGTGACAGGGAGCTGGTCAGAGACCAGATTCCCATAGCCCTTACAGAGCACTCTGTAGGCTCCTGACAAAGGTCAGTTCCACTTTGCCATTTAGAGGCTGAGAAAAGTGGAAACAAACATGCCCCAAACCATGAAGTTTCTAAAGAATATGAAAAACCATTCAGATAAGACTGCAGAGCTGCCTGGAGCACAGGGTGTAAGGCCAAAGTCTGGTTCTACAACTCCGGTGCTGAGGTCAGAGAGTCACTTCCCTACTCCCAGGAGCAGACTCCAGCCTCCCTTTCCTGGGTATGCAAGCTCACCTTCCTTTGATCCACCACTATCTTTTATCACTCACAGCCCAGTGAGGCCCCCAGGATCTTTATCCAGACCCAAGGAAGACAGAAAATAGGCCCTTGAGCTTCTAGGTCTCTAAGAGACATCTAGAAAGTGATCTGGGGCTGTGTGGGCACCTCCTAGGCACAGGCCAGGGGCAAGGGCTAAGAAGAATGTTTTGATAAAGGTGATTTTTCTGAGAGGGTGTGTTCTGGGCACAAGGCTAAGCCTGGATGAAGGTCTGAAGGTAGAGGCATGGCATACTCTAAGGGTTGAGGGAGCCAGATTCCACAGGCACATACAGCAGGGGGGACCAGGAAGTCTAGGCATGGGGAAGCCTGGGCAGGGCCAACCATGGGATGGGACAGGAGAGATGGTAGAAAATGTGAGATCCCATCTCTCAGCTTCAGACTCCAGTAAGACCCCATAATATAAGTACAAGTCATTTCCTGTCTCTCCTAGAAACCCTGGGCATTCATTGCACGGCTCCCAAAGTGGGAGCCAGATGCAGGGATGGGATATGCACCAAGCTGTCAGTGCACCCAGTCTTTGCCCTGATGAAGTTCCCTGACCCAGATTAACCTCTACATAGGCGGACCTCCAGGCTAGAATTAACCTTGTGACCTGATCTCAAGAACTGTGCACACATTGAGATTGAAGGGGCCAGATTCAGCCTATAATATGCCCCCACCCCCGTTTCTGCCATGAAACTGGGTTTGGCGTCTCTCTGACTGCCTGATGTGAGGAACAAAGCAGGGGGAGGGACTGTGATACTCCGAGACCCCTCAGGGAGAGCCACATGTTTCTCACTGTCACTGCAGACCCCCTTTATTTTCCCTGATGCAACTGGAGTCTCCTGGTAATTGCTGAAAGAAGAGGCTTTGGCTCAGGACCAAAGGGCAGGTTAAAGGGCATCTTGGAGGTGGTGCTGAGGGAGCCTGGGGGACATGAGTCAGGCCAGTCTTGCCACCCCAAGCTCATCCTCCAGCCAAATTACCAGGTTTTCTCAGGCACTCGCTGGCCTTATAAAAGTGCTCTTTCCCTAGTGGCTGCCAGTTGCTGGTGGACATCCAAGATGAGGACCCTCCTGGTGGTGTTGCTGCTGGCTGTTGTGTGTGCTTCTCTGGGTAAGGCACTGGATGCACCTGGTTTGAAGGGAGTCAGGCAGCCTCTGGGGAGGGTTCAGGAGCATGGGGCAGGTGGGACTTCTGAGCTGAGAGAGAAGGTAACATTTGGAACGCTGGCCTGGTGAGGAGGCTGCAGGGAGGCTGGAAGAGGCTCCTATGGTGGCTCCCTGACCAGCCAGATTCAGAAACCTTTTTCCTTTAGATATTATGTGGTACCTTTCTGGCTCTTTGTGTGCATGGGGGGTATAAAAATTAGGGTAAGAAACTATAGGTCCTTGAAGGGGAAGTACCCCTGGGTACCACTTGTAAGTATTGGAACCTGGGATTTAGTGAGAATGGCCAACTATTCTCCCTCTTCCCAGGATGAGGTGCTCAGGAATCCAGGATTTTCAGTGCTAAAAAAGGAAGGAAAGACATGGGCAAGACAGACTGCATGGGTCAACACCTCCAGCACACTCTGCCGTGACCCTGATGACCTGGTTTAGGGACAGAAATGAGGCTGGGAGTGGGAGGGATGTGCTTCAGTCTGTGATTATCAGTGGAATAATTATCATCTCCAAGATAATTAACCGTCATCAGTTTCCCCTGAGCTTGGGGAGGGGGCGGAGGGAGAAGGAAAACAACCTTGGGCAGCAGTCTAACCACCAGGTGCTCAGTAGGAAGATGGAGGGATGGTGGGCAAGGGCTGTTAAACAGGGAGGAGGTCAGGGTCAGATTTGGGGGAATTGCTTAGAACACAAGGAAGATGCCAGAAAGGACTCAGATCAAGGACACCAATCAGGAATGACAACCCTGGAGGCAGGAAGCAGCTACAAGGCAGGAGGACTGAGTCAGAAGGTGGGGACACTGACTGGCTGGGACACTTTTGTCCTCAAGTCTTAGCTTTCCTGAGAGGTTGAGCTTATAGCATTCTTAAAGGGTGGTTCCTGCTGGAAACTTGTTGGGGCTCTGAAGGAGAACAGCCCAGGAACTCTCACCAGCTCCTAGAACAGAGGGTCTCTGGGGACCACAATGAGGAAACTGAGAATAACCTAGGAGTATATCCCCAGACAAACAGGACTGGGGACAAGTATGCAGAGAGACTGCATGGGTTGGGAGAGGATAGCCAGGAGACACTGCCAATGAGGAAGCCATTTTTCCTGAGGGTTCCAGAAACCCTAACCTGAGAAATGTATATCTCTTATCCCAGAAAGGAGTTTCACAGACACTTCCCAACTCTGAACACAGGGCCACCACAACTTCAATACTGATGATTCTTATGTGGGAGGTGTGGTCATTTAATTCCATCCAACAGATGTACAGTGCCAATGACACTGGTTACCTGATACCCTTACAGAGAAATCCCTACAGGACATTCCCCTGTCCCCTGTAAGACACTTCTACCAAACATATCTGCTATTCAATACTCTTAAATTAAAATCCTACTAGACACTCCTTACAGGACACCCCTCTCAAGGCTTGACACAAAGACATCTGCACCAGAAGCCCTAGCCTGTCTTGTTGCAGCTGAAAGGTCCTTGCAAGACTTTAAGCTGGCCTTGTCTCTGCAGCCCCACACCTTTGCCTAATGCAACTGTTCCCAACCACACATAGAAATCCACCTGTGTGGACTCAGATGTAGGGTCCTATTGTACCCACTCACAAACCATGTTGCCTCTCAGGAGTCAATATGGAGTAATCGTTGTGTTCTGCTCCAGCTGCCCTTACAGGAATTTCACTGCTCACTGAATCAGCCATGCCTAGGTATTCTGTGTTCTCTCAAGGGCCTGTCAGTTTGTGTCGCCAATGTCACAGCATCTGGAACCACCCATCTCTGGAGCCTGCCCACTCCCTATCACTTCAGCCTTCAGCCTGGGAGGTGGGAGCTACCAGCAGGCAGCAGGCCTTAGGCAGAATGGGCAGGGCCAGGCTGTTCCTTCCCTCCAGATGAACAGTATCTAAGTACCTACTGATGCTTAGAGACACAAAGTCATTAGAGCCAGCCTGCCCTAGCAAGGAAGCCAGCTTTCCCTAGCCCTTGAAGCTCCCTTCAGTTGTCTTTTAGGAAAGAAGGGCTAGGAGCCATGTGCATTATGAATTCTCTCATTTTACTATCCAAGAAAGCTGAGAACACTGTTATTCCCATGTTATAGGTGAGTACAACATGGATTTCAGTAGGGATAGTGAGGATTAGAAGTTCTAAATCAGCCCTCTTTATATTGCTTCTTACTGCTCCATCCTTTCCATCATCCACTTTTACTCCTCCATGCATGCATCTATCCATCAATCCACCTATGTAGTCTTCTAAACATCCATTTGCCCATGAAGCAATCCATCCATGCAGTCTTTCACTACCCAACTGTTCATCCATCTGCCCGCCCACCTATCTGCCCATTCCTCACACATGTATCCATTCACTCATCTATCTGTCTAGCCATATAACCACACACCCATTCATCTATCCATTTGCCCATCTAGGCATCTGTGCTTCAACTTCATACGTATATACGTACATGCATCTACCTATGCATCTGATCTCCTGGTTTAGCTGACAGTTCACTAATGTTCCCAGTCTCCTTAACAAAGAGATTAATACAGAGCAGATAGGAAGCTTTAGACAGAAGACATTTGAGTTTAGCCTTAGGGTAGCATACCATCACACTCCACACCTGTCTATCACTCAAGCTGACACTTTGATACCAACATACACAGGACCAGAAGGGACAGAGGGGACAGAGGAAGGAACTCTCAGAATCACTACCAAGAAGTTCCTAGTTTCTCAGACCCTCCCAGAGGGAACTCCTGCAGGGGAAGGAGGATCAGAGAGCATGATCTCATGTGGGCCACTAGGCAGGCAGCTGGGCACTTAGTCTCAGCCCCAGCCCAGACTGATGGCCTGTGCTTCCCCCCAGCCCGGGCCCTGCACTGCCATGTGTGCTGTGGGCACGAGAACTGCGAGTCTCTCGTGGAGTGCGCCTTGACGGACAAGTTCTGTGTGATCACTCGGGCCAGTGAGTACCCTGGGCCACACAGGCCCATCCCGCCCCACCAGCACTGCACAAGCACTTTCTGGCCCCCTTTGACCTCTTTCCATCCTCTACATCAGAAGCCCTTGTTATCCCCACTCCAGACTCTAGGGACACTATCACTTTCTAGTCCACACTTTAAACTAGGCTAAAGATTAGGAGGGAGGAGGGTCGGGTATAGGCTAGCATGTTTAAAACACCAATATCACACCCTGCTCTTCCAGGCCCCTCCTGACCCTTCCTGCTCACCCAGATCCCTGCCTCCAATCAGCTGGCCATAGCCTCTGCTCCTGGGTACCCTGCAATTATTCTAGAACTCAATTCTGATGCTGACCAGTACTCTCATTTCCCAGGCCAGGACCTCTCCTTTACGTCCCACTGTGCACCTGGTTCTCTCCCGAGCAGTGGGGCTGTGATGGGGCCTAGAGCTTGTGTATTGGGCTGTGATGGTGGCTGTGATGGGGTTCAGGCTTGATGCTGGAGTGTAGCTGGGAACAGGGAGTCACTTATCTGAAGTGGTCCCAGAAGAAAACATGGGTGTATCAGAGAAGTTGACAAACCTTTCAGACTCTTAGGATCCAAGTGGACAGTGTCACCTCTAAGTCTAGAAGGGTTCGGGGTACTCTCTTTGCTTTTGCCATTGGAACTGGGTCATGAGGCCACGGGCCCCGGTGAATGGAAGTTGTTATGATCACTGGACAGCTTCTTCCAAGATCCTATTCTGGGAGCAGGGGAAGGAAACCAGGTGGCTTCACAGTGGCCCTGGTCTGTCCATCAGAACAGTTTCCCACAAATCCCAGTAGTGACACAGGCACTTATAGCTCAGACTTGGAGCTATTTTATGAAGAGGCAGTGCCCTGGTAGAGGTCACTCACACACCCAGCCCAGACTACGCCATACTCCTGTCCACACCCTGGCTGGTTCTTGTGCTGCTTGGCTCACAGGGCTCTAGGAAGTAACATTATATACTCCTCCACTGCCTCCAGGACCCTGCTCACTCAGCAGAGGAGCAACCTTCTCAGAGGCAAGTAGTGCTGCAAAAGGCAAACAACTAGTGGGATGCAGGCCCACAAGTGCCCAGGGCACAAGGCAAGAACAGTGCGGATGAGTTATTTGCCCAAAAATGGTGAATGACACATCAGGAACCAAAATCCAGCAAAGACATAAGCAGAGGCCAAGATGGAAAACAGTGAGGGTCCACAAGTACCCAGGAATCAGAGCGCCCCAAAGCTCCATCCCTGCACAAGAGCTTTTCTCAGGCACTCCTGGACTCCTGCCCTGTCCCTGCCCTTGCTGGCATTTGCTCCTTACTGGTCATGTGTCTATCTGGCCTGTTGTGTGTCCATCCATCTCCCTGGCTGCCTGCTGACTGTAGGAACACTGAGATATATGGAGTCATTCCTGTACTCCAGGACCTCAAAGGTCACAGTCAAGCAGAGTTGAAACATAGCCTTCAGAAGGCAGCAGGAAGCTCCCTGGAGAAGCAACATGTGTTGGGGATGGAGACAAGAGCTTTGGGTAGGAGAATCCATTCTGGGTAGAAAGAGGCATCTGTTCCTGCCCCCATCTAGTAAAGTGACATGGGCAGGCCAAGGACCTTCCTAGACCCAAGGTGAGAAGGGAAAGGGGTGCAATGACATTAGTGGTCTGCTGCAATCCCTGTGTGCCAGTCAGATGGGGTTGGGGAAGCATCTTGCTGGGTTTCCAGGGAGAGAGAACAGGTTGATTACCAGTGCCAGAACCTTCTCTCTCTAAACCCTGGGCAGGTAATGGTGCCATGGTGTCCATTATCTCCTATAAATTTTCATACACAGCCACTGTAGCTAATTTACTTTTGTCTCATCTGGAGCTGCAAAGGTCCCTAGTTTAGAATTGGGCATTTACTGCAAGATATGAAGAAGTCTAGTGTCCCTTTTGCCCCAGGAGGAGGCTGTGTACGTATGGTACTTCCTGGGCCTGGGCAAATAGCAGCCACTAGAACTACCTGCCAGTGTACTTGGGTTCTCTTGTCCAGGAGCAGCTGCAAACCACTCTGAACCTCTCTGTTCCCTGTGTAGCCAAGTACCACTATCCAGTGTGGTACTGAGCTCAGCCACTAACTACTACCAACTAATGGTTACCATGTGCCCATACTCTCCTCACATCAGCACAGCTCTCAACTCTTCATAAATTCCTCATTATCCTAAAGAAGGGCTGAGGCAAAGGCTATTCCCATCTTTGGTTTATGTTTTCTAGGTGGAGAAACTGAGGCATAGAAAGATCAAGTATCCTGAGATACTTACCCCACATCACTCACACAGTGTCTGTGCTAACTGCAGGCCAGGGGACCCTGCTCATGGATCTGGAGTCACAGCTACCAGAATCTCTGAACAGTGCAGGTTAAGGGAAGCTACTTACTTTTCCAAGGGCTGTGTGTTTTCATGAGTCCTGCTGTCCCCACTGTGTTTATGCAAACACACAGCAACTCATCCCCTTTTGAGCATGCAGACAGAGAGCAAGTTTTGCCCAGTGGTACTTCCTGAGATGCCCTTAGCCCAGGTCAACTTCTCTCCCAGGGACCCTTGTGAGTCCTGCCTCTGATTTTCTCATGGATTATGAAAACTAAGGGCTGCTGTGCTGGCCAGGGAGCTATGGTCACTCAACTTTGTCTGGTCAATCCCAGTCTCAAGAGGTCTGAGAACTCAATGGGGCACAAGATATTCTGGTACCTGAAATCTGGAAGAAATGGGAAGGAATGGGGAAAGAGAGGAGAGGATTGTAGAACAAGATAACTCTCGGGAAAGGGAAAATAGAGGGAGCCGAGGGACCCAGAAACTGAGGCAGAAAAGAAGGGAGGGGAAAAGGGAGGGAGGAAAGGATGGAAGGAGGCAGAGAGGAAGGGAAGGAGGGAAGAGTCTTCAAGTCAAATGTCACAAAGTCCAGTCCACCATAAAGAAAACATGTCCCCACAGTCACCAAGGAAGGACACCCCAAGCTGCCACCTCAAACATGCAGAGTCCCAGGAATTACCTCAAAACATGTGACCTCAGGCTGCGGGTCTCCTGAGAGCTAGATGGGTAATAACTGCTGTGGGGACTATGGCCTCAATACCCATGGACATTCTTCCTGTTTCCACAGCCAGCCCTGGTGGCATCCTGGTCATGAAGTCCTGCTCGCCAGCCTGCCCCAACAGCACTGTGTCTTCCGATGGTCGTGCCCTCTCTGTCTTCTGCTGTGAGGGCAGCCAGTGCAACCGCAGCGCTGCCTCAGGACTGACCAGCAGCCTTGGGGCCCTATGGGCCAGTGCCTCTATCAGTCTACTGTGGGCGCTGCTTCGAGCTGCCTGGTGAGGGCCTGGGTGGCCTTTCTCTATTGCCAGGGGTCTATTTGCAGCCTCATTAGCATACTACACCCACCCAACCAGGCTGTTAATCTCTTTTCCCATTCTCCCCAAGACACACTCAGTCTTCCTGTCTCTCTCAGGAAGGAAGCAGCAGCACCTGCCCCCAAAAGTTCCAGCTCTCCTCCTGTCTCAGGGAATCCTCCAAAAGGGCACAAGAACACACCTTACCAAGAACCCCCACTTCTATGAGACTTCAGCCCTTTGCTGAGTCCTGGGAGTCCTAGCAACCCTCAGTGAGAAGAGCCGCTGTCTCCCTCAAAGTCCTCCACCCTCATTTCAGGAGCATCCAACAGACATTAGGCTTGCATTTGTATTATCCTCTGGCAGGACCCTGTACATGGCCATCTGAACCCCTGAGCCTTTTCTATGCATGAAGTGACCCTGGCATGGTGACATGATTGCAAGGTTTGGGCACTGGATCCTTCCAGGTCCTTGTACTCTATGGCTACCAATAATCACTCTGTCCATCCACCCACTTACTCACCCATCCATGAATGCATGCATGCATACATACATATACCCATGAATCTACCCATTCATCTTTTCATCCATCCATACATCCATGCATGCATACATACATACACCCATGCATCTACTTACACAGACCTATCAGAGTCTGCCCAAAAGGGCCTTTTCGGGGTCTTCATCTGTTAGCCAAGTTTTCCAGTCCAGGGGCCCTATTAGTTCCTGTCCAAACTTTTAAACTTTTAAAAGGTCCCCTGACTGCCCTCTGTGTGGGGTGGGCAGAGGAAGCTGGTCACCTATGACTTGGTGTCAGGCATTGCAATAGGTGCCCATCTTCTCAGGGCATGGGGAAATCACTTTGTCTCCCTGGAAACACTGTTTTGCCAACCCTTCCCTGATGCTGTCCTAAGAGAAAAATAAATGTGTAAGTCTAGTTGCTCCAAGGTGTTTGGTCTTGGGGAATTCTAGTCCTTGGTCAGTCTCGTCCTCAGAGGCAGGCATGGCATTTGAGAGAGGGCCAGGTGAAGTTCTTAATGCAGAAGCTCAAGAACAAGAGTGGTGCCTCTGTCCTGCGCTCTGCCTCCTGTGTTTACACTGGGTCTCCTTGGCCAAGATAGAGAGAGCAGACTTCTACCACACCCCAAGTGAGGGTGCTCACAGGGGTCCCCTGATAACCCTTCTGAGCTGTGATGTCCCTGATGCTGCTACTGTACTGGCAAGATACTCATACCCTTCACAATGCCCCCAGGGCTCCCTGGTTGGTGGCATGGGAAACCCTCATCATTGTGGACAATCACCAGGACTCTGAGACCACCCATTGCCACACCTCCTCTGGGGCTCTTCTTGAAGGGTAAAGTCGGAGACCTTCAACTCTAGAGAGTTTGTTTCCCATCCCTGCTGTTTTGTGCTATCACTGTAATAAAATGCCCTGACAAAAGCAGCTGAAGAAAGAGTTTATTTTGGCTCATAGCTCAAGGTCTAGTTCATCATGGTAAGGAGGTCAAGGCATCTAGAGCTTAGAATATCTGCACCCATAGTGCAGAAACAGAGCTCAGCCATCCTTCCCTCACCTGCTGAATCCCTAGGCAACCAGCCAGGACACACCCACTGATTCCCTGCTTGCTACCCCCTTAGCCCCAGAGCCCCTCTACCTCTTTCTGTGTCTTCACATATCCCAGAAGACACCTTTTATCTTCACAGAACCACAGTCCCCTAGTGCCTAGGCTCAAGTGCCCTGCCTCACATGCCCTCAAAGACTGGCCACATCAGAAGTATGCACTGGGCAATGTTTTGAAGCCTTTGGAACAACAAGCTGGGGATAGATCCCATCTTATCACACCCCTGCCAGTGTGGAAGACAAAGTTGGGAGGATAAGCATACTGAGTGAGCTCAGGGTGCTGAGCAAGACTCCCCCCCCCAACCTGGACATACCTCATCCCCTGAACCTCTTTGTATGCCTTCCTTGCCTGGCCAAACTCTATGGAGTTTGGAGGTCTAGGTTGTGAAAGATAGCCATCCAGGAACAAGGAGCCCTTTCCTGTCTGACCAGCTTTTCTGTAGTCTAGCCAGATGGGCCTTACCCTTCATGGCAGCCATTCCCCCACTGTGTGGCTGTGCCACCTCCCAGGGCAGAGCAGGGGAACAGGTCACTACCAAGCTAAAATCCCTTCTTTGTCTCAGGGAAGGAAGTGGTTGTGCATAGAACTTTCTAGAGTGTCCCCAGCCAACCCTTGTGGCTCCTGGGGAGGTAGATGGTGTAGGCAACCTGAGATCTTTCCATTCCTCAGAGTGCCCATGGGTCCTCTGGAAAACAGGACTCCTGCTACATTTGCAACCCTTAATGACAACAACTTCATCCTCTCGTGGCAAGAGATGGCAACCTTCATCAGAGCTGCAAATCCATGCCAGGGGTGGCCAAAGCAGAGGGATGAACAGGCCTGCAGGAAGAAGATAATCTAAACTGCCCTGGAGAAGTACCAGAGCTGCTGACCCACAGTGCCCCTTTGCAGGAGCAAAGGAAGTGGAGCTCCTGGGAAGGGTCAGTGGGAAGTGGAGTGGCCAGCCCAGGCAATATTTATGGGCAGAGTAAGGGATACTGGGCTTGACCCTAACAGCACTAGGTCAGCGGGAAAGGACTCCAGCCAGCAATGTCTAGGGCCAGGGCTTTGGTTCTCGAAAGAGGTGAGGGAAAGATGGTGGAGCTGGGAATGTAGCCACAGCCTTTCAACTTGACAGACATGGGGTTGGCTGAGTGGTAGAGACTGCCAGCATAGGCCCCAAGGTCTGGAGATGGTATAGATGGAGGAGGTTGATGCACACAAGGAGTGTCACTGTTGGCACCATTGAGGTGCTAACTCTCCAGCACAGCGGAGGCTGGGTGGGGAAAAAGCAACTAGGACTACGCAGGGCTCAGGCTAAGAAACAACTCATAGTAGAGCCAGAAACAGAAGGCCAGCTCTGGGATTAAACCCTTTGTGACAGCCAGTGGAGAGTTCTGGAATGAAGACAGTGCTCTCTGTGTCCTTTGCATCTGCCTAGCTGGTCATCTGACCTTGCATAATGCATTCTCTACTCTGAGCACTGGCATCTCTGCACCCCAAGGACCTACCCATTCCTCGCTCTTATGTAACTCTGGGTACAGACAATACGCCTCTTGGTCTCTTAAGCTTTTAGGATTATAGTAGTGAAGCTCCCTGGCAGGGCAGTTTAGGACTCTCCTCCCTGCCCTGGGGCTGTCCCCACACCCAGAGAATACTACAGCACTGTGCAAACTCCTCACAAGCAACATACTCTTGCCCTGGATCCAGCCTTGAAGTGGACTCCTTAAAGGTACTTGGCTGAGCCTTCTGATCCAACCTCAACCACCTGAGGATGAAGGAGTGGAGGCCAGCCTTCCACACCAGTCATGCCACATGAGGACAGCCACCTGCCCCAAGGGTAGCACTGATGACAGACAGGTCAATAGAGCACTAGTGTGGTGAGGCATCTCTTTCCCTCTAGGGGAGTACTGGAGACTCTCTCCCCAAGTCCTCTTCCATCCTTCAAGTGACCTGTGTATCACAGGCCCCTGAGCTGCCACCCTCAGCCTTGCTGACATGGACTCCCACGCTTGACGATCTCAGCTTTCTTTTGTCAGGGTAGCTTCTACTCTCCTGACAGCAGAGCACATCAATGGAGATCACAGGCTATGGACAAGGTCTGGAGGGCAGAGATGCTGTATATCAAGTATCCCTTTTCTGGGCAAGCTGAGACCTCATTTCCACAGTCCTTGAGGGACTCCACTGGGAGCAAGTCTACACTGAGTCATAGAGGAGGGGTTCATGGGTGAGGTAGGGACTCACTCAAAGGCTCTGGGAGTATCCCAGGGATCGTCAAGAACTCACCCTGGGGTTAGGGTGCAGGTGAGAAACTGACAAGCACTTAATGCAATCACCCATCCTGGAGTTATGAGTAACTCCCTTACCCTATAACTGAACTCAACACAAGTCTCTCCCCGTTGTTAACAAAATGTGGCCCACTTGGATCTTCCTGGACTACTCAGTCTAGCATAGCCTCTATCATTCCACCTGCTGCCCTAACCTATTTGTCTTCATAGGCCTTGTTCATACTTGATGTCACACAATTCAGTTTGCTGTCTTTACTGAACGGCATCCTGAAAATCTGAGCTCTGTCACTTGAATGCATGGCTGATCGTACTTATGGGATGGATGGATGAATGGATGGATAGATGGATGGACAGATGGGTATGTAGAAGATGGGTAGATAAGCGAATGGATGGATGGGTGAGTGTGTAAGTGAACAGATAAACATGTAGATGCATAGGAGGATAAGTGGATAAAAGGGTGGATAAATGGGTAGTTTGATAGGTGGGTAAAGGATGGGTAGTTGAATGAATGAGTGGATGGATGGACAGGTGATAGGATGAAAGGATAAGTGGCTATATATAGAATGGATGCACACATGGGTGGATGGATGGGGATAGCTAGATGATGTATTGATGTATGGTGAACGGACATATGATAAAAAGGTGATGGGAAAATGGGTGAGTGAATGAGTACATGGATACATGAATGGGTCACAAGTGTATGATTGATAGATGAATGATGGGAGTAGGTTCTTTTAGAGAATTGCTGGTGGTGGGAAGGGTCCCAGAGAATAATTTAAGGTGTGGCAAAGCTATGTCAGGTGCCAGACAGCAGATGAGCAATGCCCATGTCTAGATTTGTGGCTCCATATGTAAAGGTTACTCTTGTACTAGAAGAAAGGGGTGTGGAGGAAGATTCCCTGGGCCCAGAGGCCAGGCTCAGCTATGGCTCCTTTTCCTGAGTAATGCTGACCAAGTTCTACCCATCTCTGTGTCATCTAAGGCTCTACCTGTGTGATTAAATACAGAATAGGCCCCAGGGAAACAACCCTCTCTCTGTTGTCTGACTCACAGAGCATTCCCATGCCTTGCAGAAAAGGAGATAGAACCAGGGTATGGCATGGGAAGCTGAGCCTCAGTTGTCCTTGTCTGGTGTCCTCTCCATCAGCTAATAACCACCTACCCTCAGGTCCCAGCTCACATAGATCTACCTAGGTAAGCCTATAGGACCTCCTATAGTACCTCAGCACCCCCATTCACCTCTCTAGTTGTCATAATCATGCCGTGCATTGCACATAGCACTGGGTTATCTTTGTCCCTCTGTCCTACTAGCTGTGGCATAGGCCCTGTCTCTACCTTTCCTCAGTGTCCCTTATACCAGTAGTGACTGGGGTATAATGGGTCATTATAAAAATATTATGAGTGAGAGAATAAAGTGCCTAGAAGTACAGGATGACTTGGGGGAGGGGGCGCTGAGGTGTACCTACTTTTATACCCCAAGGTGCTTGAACACTTTCAGCCTAGGGATCTGACCTGTCCTCTTCAGGCCAGGAAACAGCCCAGAGCTGTGCATTCAAAAGGGATGTGGTATTACACTGTGTCTGCACTCACCTGTGTGCCTTCCCCCTGGGCTCTCACATTCTCATGATCTCTGTGTCACAGACGTAAATGCAAGTGGGAGGGACATGAGCAGGAAGACCTCTGCTCCAGACAGAAGTCCAGGCTTGTCTCTCAATTTCCTGGCCAGCCTGCTGAGGTCAGGGAGCGGGCAGGCCAGAGAGACAGGTGACAGTATTCCCTGCCCTGTGGCCCTTTGTTCCATTTCCTGGGCAACATTCTTCTGCCTATGTCTCAAAGGTAGAAGTCATGTCTCAGCCACAGCCCCCGGAGCTATGAACAAGGACTGGCAGGGCCCATGCTCACAAAGCAGGGGCCATCCATAAGAGAAGAGGTGCAAAAGGCAGATGTAAGGCACATGATGGCTCCTGTGCCCATTCCATCTTGAATTGCCTCCAAGTACCAGCATGGCAACCTCCAGCAGGATCCTTGCTGACTGTCCCAGTAGCCCCAAGAGCTCCTGCCACCAAAACTACACTCTTTCCTAAAGGTAAATTTAGTATGTGACTGTTTTACACTTCTGTTGAGAGCCAGATGGAGATAGCTGGCTGACACATCTTCCTAGCAATCCTGCCAAGGACAAAGACCCTTCCCACTATGAACCTCATCATGGACCACACCATGTACCCCAACATAGACCTCACCTACAGCCTCCAGCTCCAAGATCTATGGCCACTGTGAAACCTGAGGTCCCTGGGGGCACACTGGCATGCAAGTGCCTCCTCCTACCCTGGGTATGAGCGTGAAGGCTGTGGTACATTGCTCTGGGTCTCAAGCCCAGACTGTCTCCTCTTCTCCTTCTCCTTCTCCTTCTTTTCCTCCTCCTCTTCCTTCTCCTCCTTCTCTTCCTTCTCCTTTTATGCCTCCCCTCCTCCTCTTTTTGGTTTTTTTTGAGACAGGGTTTCTCTGTGTAGCTCTGGAGCCCATCCTGCAACTCACTCTGTAGACCAGGCTGGCTTCAAACTCACAGAGATCCACCTTCCTCTGCCTCCTGAGTGCTGGGATTAAAGGCATGCATCACCAATGCCTGGCTCAGACCTGCACTTCTATTCTGCCCTTCATTCCCAGACCCCACAACTCCATCAAGCCCATGAGAACCTCCAAAACTGTTTTTCCAGCAGTTTCCATGAGTCATCTTCCCATACCTGCCAACTCCAGCGTCACCACCCTGTCATGGAAACCTAAGTTCTGTTCCCAGGGCTTGAAGTCACACTCCCTTCCCTCCACCCACCCATTCTCCCTGCATCTGATGTATTCGCGGAGGCCCTGGAACTGGGTGGGCCCAGTTCCAGCTACCCTAAGTAAATCCCAGGCACTACCTAGCAAAACAGAGGACAGCATGGGACAGAGATGAGCCTTCTTCAGGGGCTCCTTCCAAGACCCTCCCAGATTCCACATCCTGCCATGTTGCATGATATTTTGATTGTGTTCTGACAAATAAAGCTTGCTTGGAGTCAGAGAACAGTGTCAGCCACTCAAAGACCAGAAACTAACCATAGAGCTTTGGAGGACCATAGACAGAGAGGAGAGAGGAAGTAATAAGGCAGGGCTAAGAGAGAGACTCTGCCCTTTTGGATGTCAGAACAAGAGAGGTAGGAAGCAACTGGTGGCTGCTCCCTCTTCTCTGATCTTTCAGGTTCTTACCCCAATATTTGAGTCTTGATTTTTAATTGATAAACAACACTGCCAAGTGCAAAAATCATTTCAAGAAGAAGCACATGGAAGTCCCCAGGGCACTTGATTCCATCCTAGCTTTTCCCCACTTGATTCAGCTCAGGAATGACCTAGCCCAGACAGCAGGGCCCAAGGTCTATAGGGCTCTAAGAACCTCATACTGGCCCAAGCCAGCCCTTCCTGAATTATTTCATCTGCTTTGCACAGGTACAGAAAGAACAGACCTAAGATTGTCTGTCTGTACCTAGCCCATTGCTGATAGCCTGGACCCACAGAACAGGGGCAGAAGGAGGACTCTATAGGGCCTACCCGCAGTACCTTCACATGAATAGACAGAACCAGCAGCTAGGGGACAGTTACCTTCCTGTTAAGAACTAGAGTCATGGGGCAAAAAAAAAAAAAAAAAAAAAAAAGTCTTCTATGCATGCAAAGAGAGCAGAGGTGAGGCTTAGAGGGCATGGCTGAGACCTTTGTCAGTACCTGCCTAGGGCCTTGGGGGTCAGCCCCCAGGGCTCTTAGCCGCAGGGGAACAAGGCAGAGAGACAGAACAATACTTATAAGGTGGGAGAATGATAGTGTTCTCCTTACCATTGTGTGAAGGATGGAGTTGGAGACTTGACAGGAATGGGGCCTGAGGCCCAAACAGAGGGAGGAAGAAATGGAGGAAACCGCCTATCTCTGCAGCAATGAGAGGCTCCCACAGCTTGCTGCTAGGCCTCAGTTGATCCTGTCCTACCCTGTCCCTACCCAGCTTCCTGGGACGGCCAAGCTCACAAGGTGTAGGATCTTTATAGCTCTAACCTGGCCATATCCAGTACACACATAGACCACCCCTCTGCTCCCCACCTCCCTGCCCTATAGTCACCTCCACATCTTCAGCAAGGACTATTTGCTTCCCTGGGGTTCCTTGCCCCAAGGTCCCACTAGCACTGGGCTCCGAGGAGAGAGGATCATAAGCTCTGTGCCTTTCAACCTGTGAGCATCAAGATAACCAGCATGCATGGGCAGTAACTGGAGGAACTACTAGAGTAACAGACAGAAATGCAAGTCCACAACAAGGTGGCCCAGGAATAGACAGGCATTCAACAAGAAAAACTGAGAGGTACTAGTGGGAGAGCTGGAGAGACTCAACAGTGTCAGATGTCTGAAGCAGGAGCTAAACAGCCTACAAAGGCCTCTGTCCACAGCCAACCCTGTTCAGGGAAGCCCCAGAAGTGAGGGACTAGGAACCTCAGTCCTTCTAGAGGAAAGGAGCCAGGCCTGTTCTGCGCTTCTGGGCTTGGGCCAGGAAGGGTGGGGTGAACCCTGATTAGCATGCTGCTGTCAGGCTTGCCCTCACTCCTCCCACAGCTCCTGCCCCATTTATAAGGTCTGGGGAGAGGAAGAGCCCCCACCGCTTCCAGACGATGCTTAGGATGAAGACAGTTCTGCTACTCCTTCTTGCCTTGGCTGTAGCCACTAGCCCAGGTAAGAGGCTGCACCTGGGGACTGGGAAGGGGTGGGTAGCTTTGTCTAGATACTGGACCCTCAGCAGGTTGTACCTGACAAGGAGGTCATCAAATATTAGAAATTGGAATTTAGGCCTAGAGAACACTGATTTTGAGGGATGCTTGCCTCTTTAAAACGAACTGATTTCAACATCTTAATGAAATCATAAAAATGTAATATTTCAGAATTAAGGAATTTTGGCACTGACCCTTAGAACCGGGGGTGTTTTGAGAGAGAGAGATAACTGAAGCTATTGAAGATATTTTCTCCCCCACCCTCCCCACCTCACACGTCTGTCCTGGACAGCCCTGAGGTGACCAAGGGCCTCTTGTTCCAGGTTCTTCGAGAATCAGATCATTGGGGTGGGAAGAGCTGCATTCTTAGCAAAGATTAGGACCATCCCAAGGTCCTCAGAGAAGGGCTCTCTCCACTCCACACCCCTTCTGCTTCCTCACCTCTTCCCAGAGGTGACATAAGATAGAACACCTTCTGTGTTAGAACAACTCTCTAGGGCTCTGAGGGATGTTCAGACACCCTCTGAGCTAAACACAAGTCATAAACCTTGTGGGGTTCAGGGCAGGAGTTAGGAGTGACAAATGACAGAAGGCCTTTACTTGACTGTCTCCCTGACCCTTCACCCTCCAGCCTGTGCACTCCAATGTCATGTGTGCAGCAGCAGCACCAACTGCAAACAACCTCAGACCTGCCCAGCCAGCTCCCAGTATTGCAAAACTGTCACCACAGGTGAGTCTCCGTCCAAGTACCCCAGGATCAAGAGAGCAGCCCTAGGCATGATACTGGAGATGGGCCAGTCATAGTGATGGTGGTGGTTGAGAGTACAGGATGCTCTGTGGGAGCCAGGGTGGATGGTAAGCCAGGCCTGATGCCTTTTCCTCTCCTGTGTGCAGTGGACACTCTGACGGGGAATCTGGTGAAGAAAGCCTGTGTAGACTCATGCACTTCCAACAACAGCCAGCAGGGCCAGATCAGCAGCGGTTCCTGGGTCATACAATGCTGCCAGGGTGACCTGTGCAATGAGAGGCTGTACAACGCTGCACCTGCACGTGCCCTATTCAGCAATGCCACCCTGGGCCTGGCAATGAGCCTGAGCTTCCTTGCCCTTATGGTTCTTGGCCTGTAACACACCACTTGGCATTTTCCTTGCCCTTTCCTTTCTGGTTCCCAGAGTCCCCATGGCTTCCTCCTTGGCCATGGTGAGGACAGCCTTTAAAGGCTGGGGGTTGGGTCTTAGAGGGCACTGAGAGCTGATGACATAACACAGTGCCTGCCCCAGGACTGGAAGATTTTATCTGCTCTCCAGCATGGAAGATGGGGGATAGACATGACTCCATCACCTCTGATTTTGTACTCGTTTCATTTATTTTTATACTTGGAAATAAATGACCTAGAAATACTGTGGCTGTGAGGAGTGGTGAGTGGGACAGTGGAACCCTGGCACTTGTTATCCTGGACAAGCCTTGGCTGCATGTAGTAGCACCTAGCACCTGGCCTGAAAGACATTTCCATCCTGGAAAGGGCAGACTCTCCCCAAGTCCCGTGTGGAAAGAAGGACACTGTGCCCAGGCCCCAGCCCTGAGATTCTACTTCCCCGAGGCTGTAAAGAGACCCCAGGCTTAGAGTTATGAGGGCACTGCATACAACCATGATTCAAGGTGAGTCTAGCTACCAGGATGACCTCATTCTTTAGGACACTTGGTGGCAACTCACCCAGATGTGTATGTTGGGGTTGGAGGAGTGATTCAGTATAAGCTGATGAAAGGTAGTCTAGGAAAGGCTTAAGAAGCGTACAGCCCTAGGGACCCTAGGAAAGCTCATTGCCTGCTTTCTCATCCCATGGAATGTGTTCCTAATGCTGCCTAGGCTCTTGTGTGCTGCTTAGATTTGGGCAATCCACAGAGAATGGTGAGGCTATAAGGTTGACTGAGGGAGAGGTTTCAGCAAATTCCCAAACATGCAGTCCTCCTTGCTGGCAAGAAGGCCAGCCCATTTCACTGCAGCCACTTCCCTGCAAACCCACAGGGTTAACACCATGGCAGATGTGAGTGACAAACCCTGCCCTTTGCTGATGTCAGAGGGATGGTGAGGGCCCCTCTTCCCTTCATGTACCTACACCTGGACCTTAAAGCAGTCTCACCACCCTGCTTGCAAGAGAGGTTTGCGAGAGGTGGAGTGTAATGCAGGCTCCCTAAACCAAGCCTCAATGTCCAGGTAAGGTGCTGCTTGGTCTGGGGTGAACTCTGCTGCCTCCACCCAGTGAGTCTCTTTTTCTGAGCCCTTCCAAGACCCCACTTGGAACAAGGTGCTGGATTTGCTGAGCCTGGGTTTGGTTTGGTTTTGTTTTCTTTTCTTTTGTTTTGTTTTGTTTACACACACTCCCACACCCAGTCAGCAAAGCCTGTTATGGGAGCAGGTCTGCTGGAGAGCCATGACCCTGTCTACCAGACATTGTAGGGCATTCATTCACCGTGAGGAAGAAAGATGGAGGGAAATGTGAGGACCAACATGCTCCAACCCCAGAAAGCAGGAAGCTTCCCAGGATCCACAGATGATAATACCTTGTGCTGGCTGCTGGGTAGCTTTTTCTGTTCTCTGGGGCCACCATTCCTGGAGCTGAGAACCAAGCCTGGTGCTGGTTCGCCACCTAGTGGCCAGTGAATCAGGCAGTAAAAGACACCTGTCAGAGGGAATTCTTTGCCCAGGGTATCCAGCTGGCAAGTGAAGGAGTCCTTTCCTGGTGAGACATGAACCCCCGACATGATATTGATGGCAAAACAGCAATTGCACCCAAGTTCAGGGAGTTTACTGAGGCTACATACAGAAGTGTGTATGAATGGTTACCTAAAACAGTGTGGATAGAGAGTTGGCTCAGTGATTAAGAGCACTGGCTGACCTTACGGGGGACCTATGTTGAATTCCCATCACCCACATGGGTGTCTGTCTGTAACTCCAGTTCCAGGGCTTCTGACACCCTCACACAGACACACATGAAGGCAGAACAAGAATGCACATAAAATAAAAACAAAACAAAAACAGCATGGATGCCTGGAATGCAGCCACATTACTGAAGCATCCACTCCAGCCTGGGTGACAGCATCCTTAGGGTACATCTCACAGCCAGTTCAACAAGAGGGAGAGTCTGTCTCCAGCCCAGAGAAACTTGTATGAGGGGGGAGGGCTAATGAATCTTTAATGAGCTTCCCAGGGCTTCCTGAGACTAAGGAGTTTGATTTACTTTTTGAGCCTTGTAAATTTCCTCTAGGTGAGTCCCAACAAGCCTCCCTCCTCCATGTTTCAGTATAGACGGAAAAGCTACACAACCACTGTCAAACAACAGAATGAAATGTGTACAGGCTCCAGGCAATGCTGGGAGGGGCAGCCTGCAGGTATCAGGGAAATCGGGTTTTCTGTGGTCTACAGCAGCATCTGAGGCTGACAAGATGCTACAGAAAAGCTGAGAGCAGTGGAATCTCCGAGCTCAGCTCTGTCTTCTAACCTGAAGTCCATAGGCATCTCAAGCACAGCTCCTGGATACCCCTTTATGATCCCACTGGACAGCTTCTCTGGTACTCCTAACCTAACTTCACATCCACTGACCAGAACCCGCCTGGTCACAGCCCTTGGCAGGGTATGCAAAGATGGGAGCCCTCTCCAGCCACAACAATCCTGTATGTGTGGATAGACTTCCAAGGGTCAGTGGTAAAATAGTAGTCTTGCTCAGTCCCAAGGCCTGCACACCAATGTGGTGAGGTAGTGACAAGACAATAACAGGAATAAGAAGAAGCCCAGTGGTGATCCTAGCTGGAGGCAGCAGCCAGACAATGCCTAGGAGCAGCAAAATCTGAGAGCTCTGGGTGCAATTCCATCTGCAAAGCAGCGACCCCACAAAAAGGTCTGGGCAGATCCCTGGCCCACCTAGGACAAGGAGAGATACTATTCCCCTTGCTTCCACAAAAGACATGCCATATGTGGTAGTTTGAAGGGAATTGGCCCACTATTAGGAAGTATGACTTGGTTGGAGTACATGTGGCCTTGTTGGAGGATGTGTGCCACTTTATTTTCTTCCTCATAGAACCGGGGTTGGGGGGAGTAGGGTTTGTGAAAACCTATTAAGTTTTGGCTGCTTGAAAAAGAATAATAAAAATAAAACTTCAGCGGCATAAAGTACTTATTTAGTAGTGGACTTTTGATGGTGAGCTATGGGATGCCTCTAAAACTTGCTCGCAAATGTTGCTCGTGGATCCCATGTAAAGACAGAGGCGCAGTGGGTTGCAGGTGGTTCCTCTTCCCATAGTCAGCACGTCCACCTGGCTGATTGGTTTGTGGGAGGAGGGCGGCAGGAGCCTCGATGAAACCTGAGGAGAATATCCAGGAAGTTCCAGGAATTGTGCACTCGCCTCGTAATCGCTACTGTGTCACTGTGAATCTGCACATGAGTGGGCGCATTCTGATGCCCAGAGGATGTTCAGGTTTGCTCATTAGGGCCATAACCAGAGAGCTCAGGATTGAGCCTACAGACATTAGCTTGGGGGGGAGGGCTTGGGATACTTCGGGGGCGGAGCGTGTTCCTGGGGCGGGGCTGGGCGGAGCCAGAGGTGAGCGGACACTGCGGGTCTGTTGCCGGTGCGGAGCCTAACCCGCCTGAGATGCGGTGCAAAGGCAGCGTGAAGAGTGTAAAGACTCGCCGTCAGGCCGCGGAAAGGACCTGGGAGCGGCCACGGGTGAGTTGCCATGGAGACAGGGATTGTGGTGGTGAAGGGCAAGGGCGAGGTCACCCCGCACCCAGCCCAGGCTGGGAGTTCTCCCCAAGCAAGACTGCAGTCTTTCGGGCGGAGCCTCGGGCGGGGGAGGGGTGGGGGGAAGCGCCCGAGCTGCAGGCCTGTCCTGATTCAGGATCTCAGAATCCTGGGCTGGCACCAGGGAAATGGGTCGTGAAGGATGGGTTGTCTTCCGGAGAGTGTATTTTGGTACCCCCAGCAGAGGCCGGATCGCGTCTATAAGCAGGGAGGAGAATATTGGTTCACATCCCCCCAACAGTCCCAAACACCAGACCCAGCCTGTGGAACTCTGTCTTGGGCAAGCATCATCTGGCATACATCCGAAGAGTCTTTAGGTAGGACCTGGGCACTCATCATGACCCCTTCCGCTGTGGCAGAGGACTCACACAGAGGGAGAGGGAGGGAATTCCACGCAGAGGAAGCAAACGCCAGAGGGACCTCTGCCCCCAAAAGAGACTAAACCTGGGTTCCAGTCGTCTGAAGACTCTCCTGCACTATAGGCTCTGCCAGGAAGAGACTGCCTGCCAAGTTTTCATAAGCCCCCTACCAAAAAATACCTCAGGGTGAAATCCTCTTTGGGTTTGACATTCAAGGACCCCAGGGCCTCCCAAGTTTCTTTGATGTTGCCCGTTCCTCCCCTTCTTTAGCTCCTTTTGCTTGCTTTTGGTCTTCTGTTGGAATGCTGCATGTCCTGCTCCCTCCTCCCATCTCCAGGTAAATGGAAATCAGTTAACACCCACTGAGCTGGTAGTCTCTCCTGCCTGCACCCCCACCCACCCAGCCAGCTGTAATCACAAGTCTCTGTCATTGTCCTTGTAGGGATGCTTTCTCCCTAGGAGACCAAGGGCTCAAGAAGGGCAGGAGTCCATGCTTTGCTTCTTCCCAAGCCTGAATTGCATCCAGGACCAGCTGCTGTCCTCACATCTCCATCATGACACCCCTGCTCACAGTGCTCCTGGTGGTTCTGGTGGGCCTGCCTGTGGGTAAGGTGGACTAGAGGGACACGGTTGTGGGACAGGCAGGTGGAAAGTCGGCAGGCTGGCCAGTGTACCCCTGCCTTCTGACTGTCCTGACCTGGTGCCTAATGGGAGTGGGAGGTTGGCTGGAGACAACTGGTGGCAGGAAAAGGATTTCTTCTTGTTCTCTGACCCCCTTCACTGCCCACAGCCCAGACTCTGGAGTGCCATGTGTGTGCCTACAATGGAGACAACTGCTTCAAACCCATGCGCTGCCCAGCTATGGCCACCTACTGCATGACCACACGTACTTGTGAGTCCGGTGACCTGGAGCATAGGGATAGGAGGAGCATAGAGAGGGAGACACCACCTGCACTGGTGGACCTACAAGCTGAGATTGGGTTTTCCAAGGTCCTGATCCTCTCACAGCAACCTCTTGTGTCCTGTCCCCTGTAGACTTCACCCCATACCGGATGAAAGTAAGGAAGTCGTGTGTACCTAGCTGCTTTGAGACCGTGTACGATGGCTACTCCAAGCATGCATCTGCCACCTCCTGTTGCCAGTACTACCTCTGCAATGGGGCTGGTTTTGCTACACCAGTGACCTTGGCCCTGGTCCCGGTACTCCTGGCCACCTTCTGGAGCTTGCTGTAAAGCTCTGTTCCCCAGGCAGACCCACTCAAACACAAAGCTCTTAAAAGACACAATTGCACCCTCTCGCTTCACCCAACCCTCTTCCTTCAGCTACAGTGAGGGCCCGCGGCTAGCTACAAAAGGATTGATGAAATCCAGATACCTCACTCCAAGGCCATAACCTTTCATTTTTCAGAAGGCTGATATATGGATCTAGATCTCTCTAGATCAGGGGCATCAGAGAAAGTGCTATTTGTGGGGGTGAAGAGGAGTGTCAGTCAGTTACACCAACTGGAAGGAATTAGTGGCCAAATTCCGCCTTCATAGCATCAGGAACCCACCCCAGTCTACCCAGTAGAGGACAGGTCTGCTAGAGGGGACGAAAGATCATGAACTGGCTAGAAGCTAAGACTCATCAGAGCTGTCTCCTACTGAGGCCAGCAGCTGCCCAGGGCAAGTATATGATGGAGGCCATATGAGGAAGCCTTTTGTCATTTCCAGTTAGCTCAGGAACTCTGTTAGGCCTGGAATCAGGACAGCTCTTGGCCAAGGGTACTAGCAATGGCTTCATTTCTGCAGGCTACAAAGATCCCTCCAGCCCTAACAGCTCAGCAGGCCTGTTGACCTCACACCAGCTGCTGGGCCTTGAGGCTGGCAGGTGGCCCATGCTATATTTTTGCCTGGGCTGTACACAGGCCAGAGCTATTCTGGGCATGACAGGAAGGGAACAAAGGCAGGGCGGAGTAGGCTAGTGAGGTGACCGGGACAGCAAGGCAGACTTCAGCCAGCTCCCTAGGTCCTGTAGGCAGGTTCTACATCCTAAGGCCTCTTGGTAAATTATGGGGAGACAAATGCACAGGGAGCCAGATCAAGTCCTGGGTGATTGTGACTGAAGACTTCTGGGTATCAAGACTCTGAAGAACCCAATCCTAATTTAGGAGGCATCGATCTACCTTTCATGCCAGTGTAGTTGACCCAGAAAGCCTTACCCTCTTCTCATGTGCCAGTGAGGAAATTCCTGAAGCTGGCCAGTGTCCGTGCAAGGGATTATGGCTGGCTAGGAGAGTCTTATTCGCCATCATATCCTACCGGTCACACATCCTGAATGCTTTTCTCAGACCACCCAGCTCAGGGCACAGGGGACCTTCCTCCCTGCTGTTAGGTGGATCTGAACTCTGCTGCTGAAAATGATGTGGTTTTCTGCCTCCATTTTCTTCTCTGGGGACAGGCCACTGGGGAATGGGAGATAGAAGCCTGCTAATATGAATTGTGCAGCTTTATTACAAAGGTAAATTGGATGGGAAATGGCCCAGAGATGAAGAGACATTGAATACCCAGAGAGACTAAGGAGTCATGGGAGGTCAGGAGTGGGGAGGGAGTAACACAGGTGCATATACAACAGTGGCTGCAAAGCCCAGAAGGCAGTACTGGCTGTGGTGTCCCCTGAGGACCAGGCAGGATGCTGAGAGGAAACTGCCCCCAACCGAGCTTGCATAGAGCACATGCTCTCTCTCTCTCCCTCTCTCTCTCTCTCTCTCTCTCTCTCTCTCCCTCTCTCTCTCTCTCTCTCTCTGTCTCTCTCTCTCTCACACACACACACACACACACACACACACACACACACACCATTGGGACTGAACTGTGGAAGCCACAGGGCTCTGGTAAGGAGGCTCAGAGGCGGGCCCCTGACTCAGTGGGTGAGGCCTGGGAAACATTACCCTGCTTGTGCAAGTCCATTGTCCCCAGTCAAGGTGGCATCCTGGGTCAGAATGGGGAGGAGGTCCGAGACCAGGTCCTCCCTCCCACCTCAAGGGAGTGTGAAGAAGAGGCCCTTGATTACCTGTGGCTGAGAGTGCTGCAGTGTTTGGAGGCAGTTTCTTTCTCATGTCTCATGACACCATCCAGACAGGCCCCACAGTGTCCACACTGCCACCCATCCCTACAGGAAGCATTGCACCTGCCTAGCCTGTCTTTGGTGCTTAGCACAGAGCCCCAAATGGTGCTCAATTAACACAGGGCCAACCCTGCCAGTAGGAGTTGCCGATTAGGGGAACAGTGCCAGATGGCCTGTCCTGAGTCTTATCTCTGGTGGTGTGGCACTGCAGGTGGCTCTGCACATTCCATAGCAGTTCTACAAAGTGTGTGTGTGTGGGGGGTCATGATAGGAAAAGAAACTGAGACACAGAGGGGTCTTAGTTTTCCTGGGCCATCTGACCTCCTCTTCTGTTTAGTACCAGCCCATTCTCTTATGGGTGCTCTTCCAGCAGTTGGGGTTCTTTGAGGCTATATACCTTCAGGATGGCCATGGCTTCTTAAACTGGAAAACCTCAGAATGTAAAGTTCTAAAGGGTTAGGAAACTGAGGCCTTAGAAGGGAACATCAGAACTGGAGGTTTGAAGGTCTGGGGAGTAAGCAAGAGGTGCCCGGCCCTGTGTGGGAATACAGAGAGAAGAAACATGGGATGGAGTTGCAGACTAAAGAACAAAGTTCCATCCACTGTCACAAGCTGACTCTGCCTTTGTCAAGGACTAGGGATCAAGGCAGTGGGTGTTGTCAACCTAGGGTAAATAGTTGCCCCTCAACATGGATGGTGTTCAGGGTGGCTGGCAGTGATTATAGCATTGCATTCTGGACGCAGCTTGGGAGTCACTGAAGAAAAGCTGCTGGATGGAGCAATGACATCACAGAGTGTGTGTGACTCTGTGGGATCTGATGAAGCCAGGTCAATACTTGAAGCTGAAGCATGCTACAGAGCAGAGGGGTGTGACTGGTCTAGCCCACCAGAAAGAAGCTGCCGGGGGAGTCATGCTCTGCCAAAGTGCCTGTGGTTGGCCTCCCCAAAGCCCATATGGAGAAGAGAGGGTAGACTACTTTCTTCATTTTCTGCAGCAAGCATGCAAGCTCACATTCTGAACCTCTAGGATGACTTCCAGGAGTAGGGTGGCCCCTTGTTGCAGTGTTTGGTCACTTCTTAGCAAGCACCATGGTATCCTGCAGCTGCCTGCCCTGGGTTCCTCAAGTACAGGCTCTTACTCCAGCCTTCTCCTTGGTGAAATGGCAGTGACAGTCCCCATTCAGCTGGCTCTTGGGGGCCAGTGACAAGCCTGGGACTTTCCGTTGAGGAGACCCCAAAGGATGAAAGGATACGTCTATGTGTCTCTGCCAACCCTAAGCTCTCGCCCAGCAAGGACACGAAACACACTTTTATGCCACAGTTCCCTTCCCCTAGCCATCCCCATGTACCTATACGTCAAAATGGCCAGTGTCAATGTTTCCCCACTGAATGAATAAACAAATGAAGGGCATGTGTCTACCTTGCTTTCCTACTTGTCTTCTCTCTGAAGGTCCCTGGCTTCTGTCCTGATATTAGAGCCAGCCAAGGCAAAAATGGTATTAACAGGATTCCAGGGGATTTCCAAAACTCACCCCCATTCTGTAAAGAGAGGCAGATCCATCAGTTCCCATCGATGGGCAGACAAGCCCAAGGGTTGGCTGAGGAGCTGAGTGGGAAAAGACCACCCCCCGACACACACACACACACACACACACACACACACACACACACCCCACTGGCTACTTCTGCCTTCTTCTGGCTTGTTGATTTCTGATACCACTTTCTACCTAATCCTCAGAAAGAGAGTCTAACTCTCCCAGCCCCTCTCTCAGAATCTCTGGCCCTTTGCCCTGCCCAACCCCCAGATTTGGGGGGTACCCATAAAGCTTAGAAGTAATTCAAAGCCTCCTGGACAGCCAGAGTAGACACATGGGGTCTCCTGCCTAGACTGAGTGCCCATACCCCATCCTATGGGCAGTATGATCCCTGCCCTGTTATATGTCACTTTTGTCTCTTACCCCAACCTGGAGCCTTCTAAGAGCAAAGACCTTGCTTGTCCCTCCTGCTGACACTGGGCATATGCCACAAGACACAGTTTCCTTGATACCATGCCAGTACCATCCCTTTATAGGTAACACTCACCCCTTTTTCTCAGGACCGTGTGTATAGCCGTGCTTCTCCTGAGCTTCTTAGTCCTGGGAGGGCCAGGACAGGACTTGGCAGATGAGGAAACTCTGACCCCTCAAAATCCTGGCTACCTTGCTCCACGCAGAGTGAATTGATGAGAATGACACCTTAGCTTCACCTGGCCCCAGCTTCATTCACACTTGCCAGGGGAGGGGAGGGTGGATTGCTTATGCTATGCCCCATGCAGCTCCATGGTGAAGTGGACCTGTACTGAGCTTCTGGCATGCACAAGGCATTTCTTGAGAGACTTGATCCTGATGGTTGGGTCATCCCTACTCCACAGAGGAGGGAAGAAGGTTTCTGAAATTGTACCAGGCGCTCCCTGAGGCCACACAGCAGCAAGCTCTGCCACCTCCCATCTGAGCCAGGTTGCAAGTGACTCAGGGCTGGGAGCCAGCAGCTATAGGAGCCAAGGGTGGAGTGGGATCGATGAGCAGGTATAAGGGGTGGCCAGGCAGTAAACCTCATCCTTAACACGGAGGACATGAGGCTTCTCTTCTGGTTCCTTCTGGCCGTGGTCTTGAGCATGGAGCTAGGTGAGTCAGGGCTGTGGCCGCTTTCCCTACTATTCTTACTTATCATCACTGTCCATACAGCCTGGGTCACCACTCACCCTTGTGGGTACCCCTTTCTTGTCTGCTCTCCTCATCCTGGGAACCAAGACCCTCTCTACCCACCAGCCTCTGTCCTCTGCCTTCATAGATTCCCAAATCCTCTTCTCTGGACCCTACAATACTCAGTGCACTGCACAGCTTACTTCTCAGTTTGAAAGCCACCCCTAGGCCTCTCCAATTCCATAGCAACACCGCTGCACACACACAAGCATGGCTACTTTGCGCTCCTCTGGCTCCTCTGGCCCCAGACGGTATGCAGCCACTCTCTCCTGATGCCCTCCTTCCTCCTTGCTTAGATTCTATCTGTTCCACCTTCCTTGGGAGACTTTATCCACTTGACTTTAATCCCCATCAGACTTCTATACCCTAGTTTCATTTGCTTCTGTAATAGGGACTTTAATCCTAGTGCTTGCTGGTGACCTCTCAGGGATACCCCGAAATATACTCACTATGCCTGGCCTTGACATCATTTAGTGGAGACCATATCCTATATCCAACCCCAACTAACACCTGAGTAAAGAAACAGTTGCTCCTATTGTCCATCAGCAACCTGTGCTTCAAACACAGCCAGAGCCAGTTCTCAGAGGCCTCACCTAGTAAAACCTGTTTCTATCCATGGATTGGAATGCTCCAGGTCTTGGGGTCCATCTAAGGTGGGGTGGAAGGTCCATGTGTACATCTCTGGCTGTAGTTCACCCTTCTTGGCCCAGGCCTCATGGGGACTCTCTGACCTGAGAATACCTGAACTATTGACCACTAAGTGCTCCCCAAAACCTTCAGGACAGACCAAATCCACTTTGATGGTCCTGAGCTCAAAGTTCAGAGACCTGTGTCACTGTCAGGGCTGAAGTTTCAGAGGGAGTACTCAGCCATGGGTCAGTCACCCTCTCTGTCTTAACCAAGACCCTAATGTTTCAGGAGTATCTGTAAGCCTGAGACTACTCTACACTGGGATCTACCAGTTCCTTCCTCCATGGAAATCATGCCTTCACCTCAAAACAAAGGCCTCAAGCCTTGACAGTTACAAGTTGGAGGGAGCCAGGCTCCATGTGCCTCTCTCAGCATACCCCATGTCCTACATCTTTTCTGGCACCTATGGGTAATGCCATCTCCCTGGGGCTCAAAGAAGCCTGGAAAGGGTAAGCTGCATCCCAAGCTGACCTCAGAATGAACGAATAGGACCAGAGGGAGTCAGCTGTACCTGGCAACATTACAGTGGACCTGGACATGGTGGAGTGTTGTCCCAAGGCTCATTCAATCGCCCCTCCCACCCTCTTCTCCAAAGCTCTTTTTCTCTAAGCAAGTACTGACCGAGGGTCTGTCTCCATGACCTGTCACTGAACCCAGAGCCAATTTCTTTTTGAGAGCTAAACCTTCCTGGCCTCCTTGATGGAAACACACACACACACACACACACACACACACACACACAAGACAGTTGGTTATTTTTTTTGTTCTAATGACCCTGCTCTTGTCCCAGCTCCTAGAGAGCATTCATTTATTTTCTAAGCATCTCCCATGACTCATCAGTGCACCAGGGTGCTGTGTGATGGATGCTTGTGGGTCACTGTGGGATGGGAAAGGATCCCCATTCCTATCTGGAACTCTAGTGAATAGGAGTGTGATGACAGTCTTAATTATGAAAATAACAAGGCCAGTCCATGCATCAAAGGAGGACTGCTGCCCCAGAACTGGGAGGCTCCCTGGGAGGAGATGGCCTATGAGCTGAGGCTAGCTTGTGTTACATGGATGATGGAAAGATGAGCCTGGGCAAAGCTAGGAGGCATGGAGATGAAGAGGAATGGGAGGTGGTACCAGTGCTATTTTCCCCAGAACCTTTGTCTGTTCCTTTTGGTGCCCCAATCACCTGGCCCTCAGTCAGCTGCTGTCTAAACCCCTTCCAGTCTGGGGAACCCATGCTCAGTCTGTTTAGTGTCTTTAACATCCATGGGACAGCTACAAACTTGGGGGCTTTTGTTGATACCTTTTTGTCCCTGACAAGGTCTCAGCTTGCTCTGCAGAGATGGTAAACAGTCAAGGCAAGTGGTGGCGACCTTGCTGTGGTGTTGACTTCCTGTCTGTCTCCTGTTCCATAATGTATAGGATGAAGGACTGGCCTTTGAGACAGACCAGAACTGACTGACATACTTACATGTGAGATCTGGTAGAGGTGTGGTTATAAAAGGAGCCCCAGGGGGTGACTACTCAATGGCCCAGCTAGGATGGGACAAGGCCTAGGAGCTTCCGGCTCAGTGTCAGCTCTGGACTTGTTCAGGATCGTTGTTCAGCAGCACGATCGTTGCTGGAAAGTATCCAGGGATGGGCATGTGCTTAGGGGTTTTGTAATCCAGGGAAGGAAATTTAAGGAAGCAGGAGAGAGATGCAAAGAGGCTGGGAAGAGGCAGAGAGACAGATGAGGCAATCCAGAGAGAACATGGTAGACCACTTGCTTGATTGGCCACCCCTGAGCTAAATACAAGACTAGTGATATAGTATTTGTCAGGAAAATTGCCAGCAGAACTCATTGGGTTCCCATCTTCCTTCTGCCTGGCCTTGCCCTGGATTTCCTACTAATTGTGTAATCATGATGCCCCCATCATCTCAGCCCACAGAACGTTTATATCAAAGAGTATCTAAGGTCCCTGAAGATAAAGGGGGCATGGCTAAAGTCTCAGGTCCCACCTCTCCTCCACCCTGTTCTTTAGGAGCCTGAACCTGCACTTCCTTCCCACAGGAGTTCTCATCTCTGCTCCATCCAGTTCTTGCTGTTCTGAGCAGAGAGACATGGGCCAGCTGGTTCCAACAGGATCATTTGTATCTCCCACAGTGGTAGGCTGAGCACCAGGGTCTTCCTCCAAGGTCTAGAGGGGCTTTGCAGCATAGATAACAGTTGTGAAGCTGGGCTTCAGAGCCTTGATGAGGCTGGCAGAGAATGGAAGTGAGGTGCTGGATACAAGAGTGAGTGTCACCCTCTGCAGGAATTGCTCACCGGCTGCCCCTGTCTCTGTCTACCTATAGCTATAACACAGGGCCTGCAGTGCCACCTGTGCAAGGACTTTGGAGGCTGCTCCGGCAAGTTCAGATGCCCAAGGGACTCTACCCACTGTGTCATCATTGCCACCCGTGAGTGTGGTGGGAGGGGTGGGCTGGACATGTTCTTCCTGCACACAGAGCTGGCTCAATAGGCAGGCAGAGCCCAGAGCCAATGTGGTGGCAACAAACCAAAAACAGAGTAGAAAGGTGTCTGGCAACTTCTGTCTGGGGCAGGGGCCAGGCAGGGGTTGTCAGTGCCTGGGGGGTGACCCTCAGCACAATGACTGATGTGACAGAGGTTTGGGAAGCACCATGGTCTCTCTCCTATCCCCCAGGGTCTCCCATCAGCTTCACAGACCTGCCTCTGGTGACAAAGATGTGCTACAAAGGCTGTCCTGATGTCCCCAGCTTGGGCTTGGGTCCTCATGTATCTATCGTTTGCTGCCAGTCCAATCTCTGCAACAGAGACTGACCACACTTGTCACTACCAGCTGGTCCCACAGGACCATGTCCAGGCCTGGTCCTTGGAGATCATTCCAGTCTGGCCAGCCCAAAGGAAGTTCAGAGTGAAACCCTGTGTAAACCCACTGTGGTACAAACATAAGGCCTAATCCATTGTGGGCCACCCTCTGTGTCAACAAATTTCCGAATAAAAAGCAACTGGATCACATGGTGTGAGTTGTCCAATGGAAATAGTGTATCAGGTAATGGATTCAGGCAATTCATTGACCCTGCCCCATCTCTTGTCAGTCAAGGTCTCCTTGGTCCAGGCTGTCTGCTGTAGCCTCCACTGACCTCTCTTCCACTAAGAGCCTGCCTATTTCCAGGTAGACACAGGGCCTGAAAGGCACAGGGTGCTGCAGATGGCTGACGATGCCCTGAGCCAGCCGTGAGGAGGAGCTGAGTCTCTAGGCACTTGAAGCACCCATCTTGAGTCTGGAGTACCTGAGTATCACCCTGACCTAGGGCTGATATGCAGAAGAATGACCCAAACTTGGTACTGGGGGTCAAGGAGCACCCAAACAAGGGGCTGAGAGCTGGGGAGCACTGCAACTTGGGGGTAAGGGCACTTAAAGGTCAGCCTTGACAGGGGTTTAGAACACTTGAGGAGCACCCTGATTTGGGCTTGAAGGCTGAAAGGAACTCTGACCTAAAGTCAGTGAGTGCCTTTACTTTGAATGAGACTCCAGAACCTCCTACAGACCCATAGTTGAGCAGGTGGAGAAGGAAGGCTCTACAGAGGAGTGGTGGTATTCGCTAGCCACAGCCCTTTTTGGTACATCCACCTCTGTTGTCAGTAGCTCTTGGGGAACCCTGCTACCTGTGTCTCTGTACCTTGTCCTGTTCTATCTTTCCTACCTTGTCCTTGCCTGTTTAGACTTGGTTATATCTCCCAGAAGGCATAACCTATCAAACCCCATGTGACCCTGATTAATTGTATGAGTAAACCAAGGTTATGGTATGACCCAGAAGGGGTACCCCTTGGACTTAAGAAGAAACATGTCCACAGAAACTGGACCACAATCACTCAGAGCAGAGCTATTCACACACATCAGCCACTGTGAATGAACGCATACAATACGGCATCCTTTCGGCCACAAAATCCTAGTAGCAGTAAGGTACTGACCCACACTCCTGAAGAATTGACCCTTGAAAACATTACAGAATACTGCATTCTCTAGGACTCTGCACGAAATGGCAGGGATTTAGGGCAGACTGGAAACAGATACAGGAGGGAGGTGTACAAGAAAGAGGAGACTTCCAAAGCTTGTCCTTCTGCTGCACCACTCACCATCTCTCATGCTTGTCCATTTCTTTGGTCACACTAAATATCAGAAAGATCTTCTAAGAGTGGAGTAGTTATTGGGGGATGACAGAGCACTAGAATGAGAAGACATGTCATAGTGACAGAGGTTGCAGCTGAGAGAAAGCCAAGTGGGAGAAATGTGCCTAAGCTGCCTGGATAGCAGTCTGTTGGTTTTGAAAACATAGCGAGGGGCTTGGCCACTGTGGTCAGTGGTGACTCTGCTGTCCAAGGCACCTTGTTTAAAGTGCTGCAGATACAGAAGTCTGCATGTCTTTGTTCTGGGCATACAAAGCACAGGGTGCCAAGCAAGGAACCTCTGACGGGGCTCCTGAGAAAATCATTGTCCCAGACAGGACAAGAGCCTTCTCTAACAACTTCCTGCCTGTGTCCAGTTTTATGGGGTCTGACAAGGAAATTCTCATCCTGGGGTCATTAACTTTCATGCCAGCAAGCAATCTTGCAGTGGACTTCAGCTGACTATTCTCCAATACTACTCAGATACCAACTATGTGTAGCCCTCATCAGATCTTACAGGTTGAGGCTCTGTTCCCAAGACTATGTCCATCTCACATCCTTCACTCTCTGTCTTTCCATACTATGTTTTTGGAATCTTTGGTCATGTCCTTGATTTAAAAAAATGGGTACAAGTGTCACCTGAATTATTGGGGTTCACTAAGGAACATCAGGCATAAGTGCTTTCTCATTATCTTCCCAAGAAGTGCAGATTCTCCCACATTAAGTGACCTAGAGGCTGAGAGTTCTGACCTTTTGGGGTTTTATGGAGGTTTCATCATGTGGCCATGATTGGTTACATCATTGGCCACTGGTATCAGTTCAACTTTCATCCCTCTCCTGTCTCCAGAGGAGACTTGGGGTGGGAATAAAAGTCCTCACCCTCTAATTGTGCAGGCATCTCTCAGGTGATCAGCCCTATCCTGGAACTAATAATGAGGGGCATCCCTCCACTTGTCATTCATCAACTTATAAAATGATGACACTCTTATTGCTACAGGATTTCCAAGAGTTCTAAGGAGCTGCATGTCAAGAAACTTGGTTGAAAACAAAGAGTACCTTTCCTGGTGCAGTAGGAATGGAGGGATGGTTCAAGAGTTAAGTGCATGGATTTCCTTTCTGAGATAATGGAACATATCAACCCAGATGTCTGTGGCTATGTCAAAATTATTGAGCCCAGTAGTGGGATCTACCCCAACCCTCTCTCTCCAGGCTGGCCTTGAACCCATGACAATCATTTCTCAGGCACCCAAATGCAGAGATTACAGGTAGGCATCACCACACTCAGCAACGGATAACACTTGGAAATGTGTGAGCTGCCAGATATGTGAGGCATGGTCAATAAAGCCACTGAAAATTAAAAAGAAAAGATAGCCAAGCAGTGGTGGCACACACTTTTAATCCCGGAACTCAGGAGGAAAAGGCAGGTGAATCCCTGATCTACAGACTGAGTTCTAGGACAACCAGGGCTGTCTCAAAAAAACAAAAAAAAAAAAGTGAACAAACAAAGACAACACAAAAGAAAAAGATAAACAAGATGCAAAATATAAATTGAGAATTGCAAATTACTACATAAGAATCTGTAAAATAATATACTCAGAACCTTCCTAGTACTTGGGAGGCTGGGACTGAAGGTTCAGGGCAGCCTGTGTTATGGAGCTGTTAGCAAAATTGAAAGGCAGAAGACCAAGAAGGAAATATTTGTACCATATGCCAAGAAACACGCCACCCTCCACGTGTGCCCACACAGCAGTGCCACAGGAAATGAACAGAGGACACATACAGGAAGTCCAAGAAAAGAAGAGTTCTGAGGTAGGAGCCTCATCACCCTTATTATCAAGGCTGTGGCACAGGTAGTAAAGAGCACCCAATGAAAGATGCAGGGGGTGAGGCATGTGGGAGGTGGCCTCCGTGCTGCTCCTTGGAGGGAAAATTGGCAGACTTGGAAGTAGCCTGAAGTCTGCCGGACGCTGCTTCTGTAGACACCTGTGTTTGAAGGCTGGGTAGTAATGAGTTCACTAGACCCAAGATAAATGATAAATGGGTGTTTTATTAGTGAGCAGTTTACACAGATAATAGTAAAGAATAGCCGCAGCCTTCCTGCTCCAGAAGATGAAATCTCTGCCCTTCCTACAAAATCCATAACCAGAGAGAGAGAGAGAGAGAGAGAGAGAGAGAGAGCCAGCCCCACACCCATATGCACCTGAAGCCAAAGGGATATGGCCACTAACACAAATTCACTGGCAAGGCAAGATGCTACTACATGAGTCTCTTGTCTAATGCAGCTAGCTTCAGTGCATCTGTGTCCACTGCTGGGTGGCCATGGCGATGCATGGTGACTGATTTGCAAAATCAGAGGCTTCAAGGCAGACTTTCAAGAGAGGGACCGGCTAGCAGGTTGAAGATGTCTGAATGTGGGGTGATCTTTAATTGTTTCTTCTGAGGACTCCACACATAGGTCCTTTGGGAAAGGCTTTAGTTAAACCACAACTACCACCATGTTATCTTCCTGGGTGCCTCCTGGAAAGGTTGCACTACAACAGTGAAGACTAAGGTGGTTTATGATTACAGGGACAGTGATGGGGGCAGTTCTAGTTCCCCTGAGAGCAGACTCTGCCCTTCTAGAAACATTCTTCTGACAACTGGCTAGTGAGTGAGAGGGTACGGACATGTCTACTGTCTCCCTTTAAGGATGAAACTGGATATCTAATGCTCATGGGTCCTGAGGCTGGTGCACAGGGGTTCATGCATACCAGCATCCTTCTAGAAAGATCCTGGAGGAACAGGGCACAGTGGCCTCTTTCCATAGTACCCTCCTGGGTCCTGTTTGTGAGACACTTCCTTTTCAGTGTGGGAATTTTAAGAGCCACTCATCTGGCCAGGCAGTGATGGCACACACCTTTAATCCCAGCACTCAGGAGTCAGAGGCAGGTGAATCTCTGAATTCCAGGCCAGCCTAGTCTATAGAGTGAGTTCCAAGACAGCCAGGCTACACATAGAAACCCTATCTTGAGGAACAAAACAAAACAACAAAAAGAGCCTTTTTCTGTTCTCCTGGGTGCTCCTTTCTGAGGGACAGGAGAGCCAGAGCCCTTTGGTCAGCAGATCCTGGCTGCAAGGGGAGGGCCCATGGCTTGCTGGGGCCCTCAATGGAACATTCTGGGTGAAGGCTGTGCATGGTCAGAATAACCTTGAGTGGCTGTGGGTGGAGTAAAGGATTACAAATTGTCCTGGCATGACCTGCTCTCATGGTGAAGCCAGGGTACCAGTCCAAAAACATAGGTGCTTATGGGGTTTATGGATGCTCCCTGGGAGATGATGTGAGAGGATAAAGGAAGAGTGGCAACATTCAGTGCAGACAGGGAAGGCAGAGTCAGGGCTCTTCTGAACTTGAGAGAGCATCTGTCTAAACAGACCTCCTCTCCATAGCTTGTCTGGAGCTCAGGATGGTAACCACTGCTCTCTTTCCCAGGCATCAAAGCCAGGTCTCTGCAGCTGATCTCCATTACCTTGAGAGGCAGAGGCAGGAATCCATGCAGAGTCTCTGCTCAAAGCTTCTTCCTACCCATCACACCAGCACATTTCTTTAGTGCTGAAACCAGAAGGAGGTGATTCAGACAAAGTCAGTCTGGGTATGTCTGGGTAACCAGTGGCTGTGCAGCGTGAGAGGGACAGAAAGGTAGAATGTGACTGAGTCATAGTTCCGGTATGACTTCTCAATGTCAGTAGCCCCAAAAGAGAACCTACAATGTCCTAGCTTAGTGGAAGTGCTGTGAAGGTCCTCCACAGTCACCTTTTGAGCTCAAAGCCCAGACACTCATAAGACGTGTCACCAGTCATACTGTGAACTGATCCTGATTATATACTAACCCCGATCCCAATCGCCATGCCTTATTCCTGGTTACATTCTAAGACCTGGTCTTGTTCACATTCTGAGCCCCGACCGTGGTTCCCACACTGAGCCCTGATCTTGATCCTGGTCCTACTGTGAGTTTTTACTCTGATCATATTCTGAGTCCTGACCCTGGTCACAGGCTCTGAGACCTGATTCCTTTGTACTCTGAGTCTTGATCAGGTTACACTCTGAGCCTTGACCATAGTCACGCATTAAGCTTTGATCCGAAGGTTACTGGAATCGAGAAGGGAAGGGTGTGGACCTCCCAGACAGAGCCAGCCCAGGCCCTGGCTGAGCTACATTCCTCCCTGCCCCATGATGGAAGTTTCCCAGGTACAGCCTGGGTCTCCCAGTATAGTTGGTGGAAACTCTAGGGGCTTTGATGCCTAGGGGACAGGTATATTCCAGGTGGTGAGACAGACATGGGGCCCCTGAGCCTGAGGACAGGAGGGAGCTGAGCGGATCTGGGTGTGGTGGAGGGACTTGGTTCAACCTAAGAACATGTAGGCATAGAGTAGGCTTTGTAATCCAGTTAACTTCAGCACGTCTGTGCCCAATGCTATGTGGTCATGGCCATGCATGGTGAATGATTTGCAAAATCGGACAGGTTTGGGATGCTGCCTGGCTTGCCAGGTGACCTTGTCTTAGTCAATTAGCTTCTCAGAACCTAGTTTCTTTATCTACACTAAAATTAATTAGTACTCTGTCCCTCCAGAACTGTCATGAGGAAAAATACAGTTGGTAGGCCAATTCTCTGACTCATGCTAGGCTTGGAAAGCCCAGTGGTTACTCCAGTGCCTAGGAAAATGAGGATCTCCTATGCAGGGTGAAGCTAGACCCCTGTGGAGCTGCTTAGCAGAAATCCCAGGGACCATAAAGAACTAAAATGGAGATCCACAAAGATCACTTCAATTGGAAGGGCAGAGCAGAAGCACGAATGTGACACCCCTTGCTGTGGGGCAGCAAGAGTAAAACCAAGACAGGAGTGGGGTTTGGATGCCCACAAGTCCCCTGGAAGGCCCGGCAGCAGTGTGGCTCTGACCGCTAGCAAAGAATCTGGCAGCTGTGCCTCCACCCCTACACTTCTCAACTGAGATAGGATCCTCTAGGGAGCAACCTATGGGGGAATCAGGGACCTAGTGCTGCCAGATTATGGGGATCCCTGTCACAGCCTCCTGTCTGGGGCAAGGACACCACATAGACACATAGATACACAGGGGGGGGGGGAAGACTTCCTTTTCTCCAACCCAATGTTTCCCAACCTTTCTAACGCTGTGACCCTTTAATATAGTTCCTCATATTGTGGAGACCCCCAACCATAAAATTATTTTCATTGATACTTCATAGAGGTTTGCCAAAGGGGTGGCTAGCCACAGGTTGAAAACCACTGCTCTAACTCCTGACTTTCAGTGAAGGGAGGTGGAGGGAAGTATTTGGGCCCAGGGAAGTCCGGCCTGAGATCAACCCATGGGCCATTTGAGATGGGCCCAGTGTGGATGACCCTCCAGGAAACATGGAATAGTCTTTAAAGCCACCCTTGGCCCTCCCATTGCACCCTTCCTTCAGAAACCTTCCTGTTGATCAGGCAAGTTCTGTCTTTGTTCCTTAGGCCTTTGAGCAAACTCTGGACTGGTTGTTAGTGGCAATTCAGCACACCCCACCTTCTCGCTGACTACTTTGGAGGAGCTGGGAGGCCCAAGATCACCTTGGAAAGATTCTGGCCCAGAGCAGCCAGGCCATTGCTCTGTTCTGCAGACAGCAGCTGGCCATAAGGTGAAGGGTCTTTAAGATAGCTGGAAGTAGGCAAGAGAACCCAATCCCCACAGTCCAATTCTGTGCAGCCTGGAGACCACTGACCTGTCCCAAAGGAAGGAATCTAGAAGATCCCTTTGGCTAGGAGTTTACAGGGATGGTGTGAAAGGACCCCTAATGAAAGAGGAAAGTAGTCCCAGGACCAGGAAGGGATAGAGCTGGAAGAACAGTCTGAGGGGGGCTGGGTATGTTCCGGAAGGAGTCAGAGGAGTGCCCAGGAGAATGGGGCGTTGGTGAGGAGACAGGGCCAGCCTTCCAGAAATCTGATTCCTTTCTAATCTGCCTTACCAACCGGTCAGACCACCATTGTAGGCATTCCAGCATCCCCACCTGGCAGGCCAGAGTGAGCATTGAAACTATGCAGGGGACCTGGATGGTGCTGTTGGCTCTAGTATTGGCCACCTGCGGGGAGCTTGGTGAGCATAGGGGAGTATGGGGGCAGCAGGGTTTGTGCTTCTTGGGACTGTCTTCAGAGAGTAGCTCAGGGGGGAGTTGCAGAGGGGAAGAAGGCAAAGCTGGGACCAGACAGGCAGGCAGAAGCCAGCAGTAAGGCCCTAGATGCCAGCTGGGAGTTACAGGTTCTTAGCATGTTCTCTAGGGAAGGTCTTTGAACTCGGAAAATGGGGAGACCTGGGACACTGGTGCAGATTGCCTAGGGCGCTGTGTACAATGCAGATGTAGAGGGAGAAAGGAGACACAGAAATGTCCAGAGATGGGGTGACCAGTGGACTCGGGGTTTAAGAGAACATGTGGTACCTACATGATGCTGACACGCAAGCAGTTAGGTGCTCCGTGGTGTGGACTTAAGCCAGGTGGCCCCAAACATTTCTAGAGACTGAGTTGGCCAGAGGCAGAAGCCCTACCAAGTGCCTGGGGATGGGGAGGTGACTTTTCTGTGAATCTAGATTGTTTAGACCAGTTGGAGACAGTCAATCTTACTGAGGCTGCTGATATTGGGGTTGGGATGCAGGCAAGTTGAAATCCCAGGCTTTACTCTACACCTGCACCTCTCCCCTCAGGGAAAACACATTTGCCAAGATGGTACCTGTGAGGTCCTAGGTGCAGCTCCCATCCAGTGCTCCAAGGACCTATTTGCCTGATCCCAGGACAGGCAGCACACTTCAGCAGGAGAGTAACTGATGATGAGGGCACCTGCCTTAACAATGTCTGCTTGAAACTGGCCTGTGTGTGTGTGTGTGTGTGTGTGTGTGTGTGTGTGTGTGTGTGTGTGTGTGTTTTGATGATCATTGCATGTCCTCATCCTGGCCCCAGACTGAGTCCATTCTTCCAGAGGCACAGTCTGTAAGACCTACCTAGATCAATGGTCAGTGAATAGCTGGCCCCTGGCTAATGTTGTTGTCTCCTTATACCAGAGGCGAATGTTACCAGCAGGCGGTTTACTGTCCTCTTGTCACCTCTTTCCCAGCTATGGCCTTGCAGTGCTATACCTGTCAGGATCCTGTGAGTGTATCAAACTGTGTCACCATCACCACCTGCCACATCAATGACACCATGTGCAAGACCACACTCTATTCCCTGGAGACTGGTCAGTAGACTCTGGGTGGGACAGAACTGGGGTCCAGTGTCTCAGCCTCTCCAGACCAGTGATGTTGGCCTACTGGGCTTCCAAACAGTCTTTACTACCATTCCATCATTTCCCAGCCAGCAGGCCTCCCTCTCTTCCCTTCTGCCCTCATGATGGGAGACACTTGCTGTTTGTTGGGAGCCAATGGGCAGAGTTAGCTGCCTTACAGCTTGGGTTACATTCTGTATTACAGACCAGTGCAAGATGCCATAGGTGTCCTTTGTATGTCACAAACACTCAGTGGTCCTGGTTAAAAAGGAATCTAGGCCAGTGGGGTGGGTGAACCCAGAGTAGGCAGCCCCTGGGCTTGGGGCATGAAGGTAGCAAAGGACTGACCTTTCTGGTTGACATTTTCTGCATCCTACAGTGTTCCCCTTCTTGGGGGACTCCACCGTGACCAAGTCCTGTGCCAGCAAATGTGAGCCCTCAGACGTGGATGGCATTGGGCTAACCCGGCCAGTTTCCTGCTGCAATTCTGATCTATGCAACGTGGATGGAGCACCCACCCTGGGCAGCCCTTGGGCCCTGGTCCTTGCCCCAGCACTTACCTTTATCTTGGAATGCCTGCTGTAAAGCCATGACCTTTTCACTCTGCCCTACTATCCTGACAGCCCAGTTCCCTGATGCCCTGAAGAAGTACAAAGGCCACTTGCATCAACCTCTTGAGTCTCCTTTCTGGGTACTGACCTGCCTTGCGGACAGGGAGATGAGCCTCCTTGTTACATCTCTAACTCCATTTCTATCCCTGTTATTCTCTACTGTCTCCTGAAGTTTAAAATCATAAGCAAGGACAGTCACCAGGCCTGGGACACCCATGCAGATCAGGTGATTGCTGCCTTCTAGGCCTTAGGGCCTGTGGGGAGTTTGATAAGTTGGCAGAGGCTAGGCTAGAGGAGAAGCTCACCAACAAGACCCCTGCTCCCTGATGAAACCTGTCTCTCTCCTCCCTGACCTGCAGACATCTCTGTTGCCCCTCACTCAGCTGGTAGCATCTTCAGTTAAGCTGAGATGAGTGTCTCACTTCCATCATTGCCCCAATCTTTGACCCTGGATCCAGGGATCTTCCTCTTGGTCACAACCTCCAAAGGTAGCTCTGATCCCAGGCTAGGGTCCCATGACCAGTGCCATTGAGGACACCCCAAACCTGGAGGCTCCCTGTCCTTGGGACTTGGGGGCCTACATCCTTGCCTCATGTGGTGCTCTTCATTCCTGAGCCAGATTCCGAGGTCAGGGCTCCCATAGTCCAGTGAGGTCCACCACAAATCTTGGGGGTACAACCAATCCCAAGAATTACAGATCTCTGTCTGGATGCCTCCACAGGAAGAATGGGTAGACTTCTACAATATGAATAATGAAAATCTACAATTCTTGTGATATCTCAGATACCCACATTTGGGTGTGTAATTCTGAGTTCTGACTTTGTCAACAAGATAGAGGCATTGTCCGGTTATCACATCATTCTTGCTCACCTGACTTTTCTTGTATAATATGAGCCTTTACAAATGGACAGACACTCCATAGGCCACCACAGAGGCTGAGGACAAGCCCCACCTGTGATGAGAGATCTGGGCTGTCTATGACCAGAAAACAGCTCAATTTATGACTATAGAACAAGGCTCAGTCTATGAGCCAGTTTATACCCAGGGGTGAGGAGGCTGCCTAAAACTGGGGTCAATTTTGTCTGTGACCAGGATCAGGATCCAGTGTGTCACCCTGGAAGGGGTTTAATTTGCAGCTTTTGCCCAAGTGAATCCATAACATTCTTTGACCTCAGTCTCATTGGCTGTGAGCCTCTCTTCCAGAGTTTTGTCCCTCTTTGGACTCGATAAAATTGAGTCTGTCAGTCAGTCCCCTCTCCACATCACTGGTCAAAAATGAGGTACTTCAGGAAGGCCCCATCCTCACCAAGGGCCTGACCAATGTGGTGATCCAGAAAGTTTATCAGCCAGTAGGAGGAAGATAGGGCAGAGTTTGGCCTGATGACCTGAGGGCCTCTGACTTCAGCTGGATGAAGATTCAGCAAAGAAGGAAAAGCAATTTGGGTACCCAGTGGTCTGCTCCAACACAGGGCTGGTTGATATGGCAAGTTCCAACCCTTTCCTGAGGCCTAACAGCTCTAGTACACACACCCCAACACCATCCCTCTGACCTTGAAATTAGAAGTAAACAACAAACTCTCTGCATTCCCAGCCTTGCTCTTGCCCTGAACAGAAACCAAATTTAAGTTTCTAAGCAATATGACCAGAGACAGATTTCTTTCTGGAAGAAGAGGGTTGTCCTAAAAGAATGTGAGCTCTTCATTCCTGGGATTTCCAGGCCTGTGACAACTGCATTTTTGCAAAGGGTTACAAGAAAAGCCGTTTTTACCTTGGGGAGAGGGCAGTCTGAGGTCTAGGTTGGGGTATGGATAGCACTACCCTAGATCTCTTTGGAAGAAATAACAAATCTCTGACTTCAATTGCCCACAAACCCCACCACTCAGCCATCCACCCTTTCCCCACCTTACAATCCATCCATCCATCCTCCCATACATTTTATTAGTCATTGGTTTCCATCTATTTTATATCTTCTCATTCACTCATCATCCCATCTATCTATCTATCTATCTATCTATCTATCTATCTATCTATCTATCCTTTATTCCATCCATTCATCCATCATCTTGTCTACCCACCTAGCCATACATTTAACCACAACAAATCTTTCCATCAAACTCTTCTATCATCTACCCATCATTCTCTCATCCATCCACCCATCCATTCTCCATCCTTTCACCTGTCCATCATTTTTTGAGACAGGGTTTCATGCAGACTAGTATGGTTTCAAATTCACTTTGTGACTGAAGATGCTTTGAACTCTTGACCCTCTTGCCTCCACTTTCCAAGTACCACTAATCCTGGTGGCTACCCATTCCTTTAATCTATCCATTCACCCTTTTTCCACCCCTCCTTCCTTCCTCCAGAAAATGCTCTCAACAGTCAGCATGGCCAGTTCTTGGTTGGAAGTGGGAAGGGACTTAGAGCAATGGAAAAATGTTCCTCCATTGCAATGCTGATACTCTAGCAGAAGGCAAGAAGAGCAAGCATCACATACCAAAGGGTGGAGCAGTCTGCCCTGAAGGTAATAGAAATCCAGGAGAAGTTTCTGAGAAGAGTAGCAAGTGGTGTGATTTGCATTTTAGCCAGTGCCTTTCAGTGGAAGGGAGAGGGTACAGATAAGGGGGAGAAGACAGACTCCAAGAAACAAACAGGATGATCTGGCAGACGGCTAGGGCTGGACAATGGCCAGCTGGATTGAAGGAAACAGGAAGTGGCCAAGGTTCCAGCTTGCATAAAAGCTGGGGATTGCATCAGGTGCTTGTACAGACATGAAGAGAAACCTAGGGGTCCCTGTCAGGGCAGGTGCAAGAGAGACAATTTGGGAGAATCTTGTCAGAGCCTCTGTTGGTTTCTGCAGGCAGTCTTGGTTGGCCGGGTTTTACACATATTCCCTCATTTCAGCATCCCAGCAACCCCAGGGGCTAGGACTGTCATCATTCCAATTTAAGGATTAGACTGGTTCAGAGAAGAGAAATAACTGGCCCAGGGCCACATCACGGCATCTGCAGCACTCAGGTTCATGGAGAAGCTCTGTTCCAGACTCAGAAGGGTGACCCTCCAAGTCATACACTATCCTGTGCTGGGTTCAAACCCGATCTCCAGGTTCTACACCTGGGACCAGTGGTGAGGGTGTGAACTCACATAAAGAAGCTGCCAGACAAGGGCATAAATTCAACCCTGCCCAGCAGTGTCGACCCAGACACAATGCTGCCTTCGCAACCCTAGCAATGGGGGCTAGAGAAGTGGCATGATCCACTACAAGAATGCTGTGTGCCCTCTCCTGGCTGCTGCTCTGCCTAGCTCCTCCCCTGCCATCACTAACCTGTGAGGTCACCCCTCCTTTCCAAAGCCAGGACAAGCAGGCCCTTCAGGCAGCCTTAGGTCGGCCTCATGTCAATATCTCCTATTTGCAGTACACAATCCTATACTGTTCATCAGCACTCTGTCCCTAGCCCTGGAGTCCAAGTTCACCTGCACTGTGGTACAAGGGGCCTTACAGAGCCATAAAGACCCACTTCTGCTGAGCAAGGTACAGTGGATGTTCATCTGTCCCGTTTACAGATGAAAGAAGGGGAGACCAGAGTGAATGCCTGGTAAGCAGGTGTAGGTCACCCAGAAGGCCATATCTAGACTCAGTCTCCCAGGCTTCAGAATCAAACATTCTCTGGCTCACCTCTGGGTGTGGTCTGAGGACAGAGGCCCAGAGTTGAGTGGCCCCACTATTTAACTTGCAGGAACTGCAGTCCCTCATTCTGCCAGCCATACCTTCTCTTTACTTTCATGCAAACCTTGTACAAAGGCCTCACCCTACAGCACCAGGTCATTTCTACCCTAGCAACCCATAAATGTGAAACCAAGGTCTGGAAACACAAAGGGACCATCCCAAGGCCACACATAGAAAAGCTGAAAGGCCATGAGAAAAACCCATGCCTCCTAGGTGCCTGGCCCAAAGCTCCTTCTTGATTCCCATTCTGTCACAAGGTCAGGCTATAACTCTGCTGTGACAGTCTGTAAAAGGTGGCCCACTTATTGGCTCTTGACAAGAGACACACATGTAGGCTGACAACCCACCTATGCAGTCACCCATCTATCATCACTTATTTTTAGCTAAGTATATATCCATCCACGCAGTTAATCATCCATTCATCGTGCATCCATCCATCTACTTGTCCATCCATCATCTATCCTCCACCCATCCACCCAACATCCATCCACCCAACATCAAACCATCCATCACTCATCCTCCACCCATCCATCCATCCATCTTTTGCCATTTTTCTCCTTCTTCATCTGCCTACCCCCTATCCATTCACATGGCCATTCATTAGAACCTTGGAGAACAGAGAAAAAAAATAGAAACCCATCTGGTGAGGGCTGTGGAGGATGAAGGCCTAGATGGTCCTTATGGCACAGGAAAACATCTAGTGTGTCCATGACATAAAATGCCCAGCACAGGAATAGGCATAGGGACTCAGGAGAGACTATGAGTTCAGGAGGCCTTGGGGGGGTGGTAAGTGGAGTCTATTGCCAGAACTAAAGCTCAAGATTGATCGAAAAGCCATTCACTAATGGTCAGTTGTGGTCAGTCTAATGTCCCATGTCCACCTCTACCTTCATAGTACCTACACCTCACCAGCTACTCCCCCTTTCTACACCGGCTCAGCCTCTACTTTGTGGGTACATAGATCAGTCTTGGGCTCTGGCTAGGCAGATGGGGATACAGTTCCTGTGAAGTTCCCTATATCAGGCAGATCTAAGGCAGCCTTGCACAGGAGCCCTCAGGACTGGGGCTATCTGACATAGTTGAGGCAAGAGGCTCATTAAAGGGCCAGTTGAGCCAAGTTCTAAAAGCCTTCCTCATTTGGAGTTGTCCTGGGACAACAGGGCAGGGTGTCTAGCACTGGAGGTGTGCCAGCAGAATTAGGAACAGGGCTCCCAGACAGGGACTCCCAAGAAGTCCATAGAGGAGCCCCACCCCAGGATGGGAAGTGATGATGGCTCCCATCCACCACCCACATCCCCAGCCCTGTGCCACCCTCCTGAGTCACCCTGGTCCTGACAACACCCAGAAGCCGAAGCCGGAGGCTGAGTATAAATCCTCAAACATGAAACCAGACAGGCTCCCAGCTCCTGAGGACTGAAGAATGGCCTTTCACTGCACCACTTGGCTGTTGCTCTTGGCAGCCTGGAACATGGGCTCTGGTGAGTGGCTGGGAGTGAGACTAACATGGGGAGTCTGCTGTGGGCTTCAGTTTACCCCATGTCCTAATGAAAGAGAGGAGCCGGGAGGCTTTATAGCCTCCTTTGGACCCTTGGTGAGCCTTCTGGATTTTAGAACTCAACTTTGTCCTGGGACAGAAGTCATGGCCATGGCCTGTTTTCCAGGGAGGGAGACAGACTTGGATGGTGGACATGGTGTTCCAGTCTGTCAGCCAGCCATCTGGGTCTTGAAGAATCTCAGGAGGTCACTTTCACTCACATCTACCTAGTTCCAATATGGGTCCCTGGAGCTAGGTGGTGAGACTGTGCGTGCTCCCAACACTTGATAGGTGAAGCCTTCAGGTGTTATACCTGTGAGCAGCCCACAGCCATTAACGCCTGCAAGAATATTGCTCAGTGCAACCTGGAAGACACAGCCTGTAAGACTGTACTGGAGACAGTGGAAGCGGGTAAGGCTGGGCTCAGGCAAGGGTTGCTGGTCCACCTGGGGTCAGGTTTACCTCCCCTGCCCATGCTTCTTTTCATCCACCATTGTTCTGTTTAGCCTAGGAAGCGGAGAGGAATGTATGAATGAGTGTGAGTGCATGCATGTAGAGCGATAGCCATTAAGCACCTGCACTGAGATAGTAGGTGTGGATAAGGGAGAAGGAATGGCTGTCAGTGTTTGCTACTGTGACTTGGGCTAGAGCCCCCACTCACGGCCTGGGAATACATATGCTCTGCAGATGTGCCACAGCTGAGGGTTGGGCAGAACTGGGGTGTGGGTTGCAGGAGAGGTTTGAGAAGGTAGAATGATATGGAAAGGGTATGCAGAGAGATAGGAGCTGGAGTGGCTTCAGGCTCTGACATCTGCCCATCCTGCAGAGTTCCCCTTCAACCACAGTCCTATGGTGACCCGCTCCTGCTCCAGTTCCTGCCTGGCCACTGACCCTGACAGCATTGGGGTTGCCCACCCTGTCTACTGTTGCTTCCGTGACCTCTGCAACTCAGGAGATCCAGGCTTGGTGACAGGACTCTAGACACACAGGGTGCCTCATTCCTCTTATATCTCCTCTCCTAGCAGGGCCTGGTGCCTCCTGCAGTCATCTCTGTCTGCATGGCACTGTGAGCAGAGCTCGCTGGGCCTCAGGTCACTCACGCTGTCCCACCAAATTATGGAAAATAAAATAAGCCAATGATGAAGAGGCTCCTGTCCTTGCTGGGCACTAGGAATGTAAAGAGCTTGCCTTTGGGGAAGACAAGCTGTGTTCTGGCATGTTCCAGGACCCTGACCCTCATTCATATCTCAGATGAAGAGACATAAACCTAGAGGGAGAAAGGCCTCCTGGACCACCCTTTCTACAAACTAGCCCATCTCAGTCCAGGGCACGTTCCTCAGTCCAGAAAACCCTCCCCTAATAATATCCCCCCCTGCACCCTAAACATCACCCTGTCTCAAAAAGAAAGCTTTAAGTTGGGATGTCATTGCTTCCAGGAATCTGTAGTCTGTCCAAATCTGCCAGGAATACAACAGGGGGTCAGATGCTCAGCAACGCCTCTACACTAATCTTCTTGGGATGTCCATCTCCAAAAATCTGTCTCTCTCTCTCTCTCTCTCTCTCTCTCTCTCTCTCTCTCTCACACACACACACACACACACCTCTTAGAATGGCTTGCCCATTCCTTGAGACAGCTGCAGAATCAAATGTAGGCAATGTTTACTTCAGACCCAATGCCATGTTGGGCCCAGAGCACTCCCAGGGGCAGTGACCAGGGCTGAGGATGGAGGGACAGTGACTCCCCAGCCAGGAGCTCATGCTCCTTGGGATCTAAGAGCCCTTGTCTTGTGGCTGCTGCTTTCCCTTACCAGTGTAGCCTGTGGCTGCCACTCTGCCATCTGTGAGGCATGTGGCAGCCATGGGGCCTGAATGACCCCAGGCACTAATGCTTCTTAACTGAGCACTTCCTGGATTCTCCAGCTAAGGGGGCCATGGCCCTGGAGTCCCATTGGCAAGTAGGACTGCTGGGCTGGGCCCTGTGAAGAAGGTAGCAGACTGTCCAATAGTCTGCAAGCACAGAGGAGAGTAACTAGGACAATAGCAGGGTCCCTCAAGCCCCCTGAGAGGTGTGTGGAGCACCTTTCCCCCTAACATTCTATGCTGCCAACCTGGCCCCCTAAGTCACCAACTAAACACCATTTCTTTTCTTTTCTTGTTTTTTTTGAGACAAAGTTTCTCTGTATAACAGCTCTGGGAGTCCTGGAACTAGCACTGTAGCCCAGGCTGGCCTTGAATTCAAAGAAGTCCATCACCACCACCATTTCTAGAACCAACTCCATACCTGCAGTACCCCCAGTGGAGCAATCCTCCCCGCCCAACCCCCCCCCCCCCACACACACACCGCCATCACCAAACTGCAATTTAATTTCAGAGAGCCTCACTGAGCTTTGGATTTGCAGGCAAGAGGCCATGGCTTATCAGTTCACTGTGGAGACTGGGCAGATGTCACCCCCTAGTGGAACAGTTGGGGTACTGCCTCAACCCTCTTCAGAGACACTATCAGTCTAACCCTAGTCCCGGGTCCACAGGGAGGCAGCAACACCATAGCTTAGCCCCTGAGGGGGCAGCTCGCTGAGCTGCAAGCTCGGCTCAGCTACCTGGTCCCCAGTGACAACACAGAACTGCAACAGCCCTGCCTCGTGGTTTAACTTGGAGCTACCCACCTATGTACACATCTGGATGAATGACTACACATCTAGGTCATTAAGCAGGGAACACCCGAGGTCAGGCAATGTGCCCCTCTAGCCCTGCAGGCAGAGACACAGAAGCCCCACCTTGCTCCTACTGTTTACTATCTGGAATCCCAGTGAAAGTCTGGCAGCACTATGGGCCAGCCATACACCCTCCCAGACCCTCACAGCTAGACTGTCCTTGACCCTTTCCTCTCTGACCATCTCCTGGAAGGGCAAAACCCTTCTCCCAAAGCCTCTGAAATTAAGACAATGAGTAGCCACCCATGTGCCTACAGGTTCAGGGCCAGAGGTGGCAAAGACAGGTCTTCCAAGCTGTATGCTAGCACAACCTCTCCACCCCTCCCCCATCGCTGAGTAATTACTTAAAATGAACCCACTCCTTTTCAGACCCTCAGGCCTCTGAACTACGTTGGGTAAAGCACAAACCTAATCCCTTGCCCGCCCCCATAAAAACATCCGCTCTAAATCCTGAGACTCCTACTCACCCTGCCCACAAAGGGCACGAAGAGCCCACTGCTGCCTATGCCAGGTACATGTGACTAGGGCTGCAAAGTTCAAAGGCTGGGGGTAGGGGATCAAGGTAGGAAGGCCAGCTGGGGCTCTAGCCTGCTCCTTCTTGGTCTCAATCCCATGACTCATCAGGCTTAGCTGTGCGTTCAGAGACACCCTATGCTATCCATGTTCCTCCAGAAGATGCACCGAGGAAAGGATAGGTCTGTGCAGGGGTGGCAAGCCTGTAGAAATGAGAGCCTCCCCAGCATACATGCCTTTTAAACTCTTTAATTTTGTGCTTTCTTTAAATAAAACAGTTTGCAGCTTCCCCTTGACAGCACTAAGGCAAGCATAGTAGCATGGGGGCAGGGGGGTGTGAGTGAGGGTCAGGGCATCACTGAAGCTCTCGGCTCTGGCTCCAGGTATGGTTCCTAGAGAGGTAGCAAGGAGGCAGTGCCTAGCATCAAGCAGCTGTCCCCCTCCCCTGAGCTGACAGGGCAGGTGCTCGGCATAGTCATGGGACCCCCCTACACCAGGACTCCTGGCCTCAGTGACCTGGCTAGACAGGCTACATCCTCTTAAGAGTGGTGGGCATCATCAGAATCTTGGCCAGGGGCCAGCTTCCACACGCCCTTCTGTGTTCTAAGGGGCCCCTGGGCTGGTCCTGGCCTATCTTCCTTGCTATAAGGTGACCCTCCAGAGGGCCGGCTGTCCCTGAGTAAGAAGCAGGCCCCAGCCACACCCAGGACTACTCTGGCCTGCCTGGCCACAGCAGCCTTGACTTTGGGCTCTGTGTTGACCCTTCTGCTCCAGGATCCAGCTCATCAAGACACACTAGAACAGCCATGCTATAGGGACCCAGAGGCAAAGCTGGGCCAGGACAACAGTGTTCACCCCAACAGCTGCCCAAGATGAGGTAAGCACAGAGGAGTGTCAAGCAGGTAAAAGGTGCCAGGCTTGTCCAAGACCACACCAGCTAGGAATGCAGCCCAGGTGGCCCCTTCTGTAGAGTGGACTGGCTGATAGGCAGTGCAGGGAGGGTGCAGATGTGGTGGTCACTGGTCCTTTCTGGTGTCACTGAGCCCACTCTCAGCACGGAGCAGCTGGCTGCTGGTCTCATTGTAGGCGATCCAGTGCTTCAAGTCTTCCGGCAGCTCAGGGGGTTCCACCTGCAAGGGGACAGGAAGCTAAAGCTTCAGAGAGCCAACTGCTGCTGTGTGTTGAGAGAGAGGCATAACAAAGGGGCAACCAGCCAGGCCCTCTCCTTCCTCTGGACCTCTGCTTACATCATGCTCTAGCCTCTGACCTTGCAGGAACCAAGCCCCATTATGACACCTGCCTAGGACCTCCCCAATCCCTCTAACCTAGTTTCCCCTTCCTAGCTCGTTCTATCTCATCTGTTTTGGCTAGGCCTCATCAGCAAGGCCATGCTTGAAGCCTGTCTCTAGAACCAGGCAAAAGCCTGTGAGGTTGGCTGCCTGGCGAGCTACTAGCTGCCTGGGGAAAAGCAGAATGAGGGGCAGGGCATGGGGAGGCACTCCTCTAGAAGTGCCAGACAAGGCTGCTTCACAGGACTGAGGGGTGAGGTAGAGGCTGAGCAGAGGTTCTAACCTCTCTCATGGCAAGTGCCACACAGCAGGTGGGAACTGCTAGCCCAGAGCCTGGGTCCTTTCTGGGTGCAATCTGCCATCGGTGCTACTTCTTCCTAGCACATGGCCCCAGACTAGCCTCTAGGATTCCAGGACCCAACCTGACCCATGACACAGTCCAGTAACCAGGGAAACGCCCAGCAACCCCAGGCCTCCAGCTGAGCTGGGATGCCTGCATGCATGGATTCCACCTTCTCCACATCGGTTGCTGTGCCAGCACCTCCAGTCCCCTCACATGCACTGTACCAATCAGTACCAACCAGCCCTTAGGAGTTCATGACTCAACAAAGACAGAAAGCCAGGGATCCTTGTCTAACACCAACCACTGTGCAGACTGGGTGAATGACCGGCATCTCTGAGTCTGTGTTCCCCTTCACTGATGTAAGGTCATTTCTATGCTCTAGAAGGGGCACCTATCTAAGGCAGAGAGGGCTCAATAGGGTGGGGCCTGCCCTGGCACCTTTCAGGAGTCTGCCTTGGCAACCATCACTACCCTGGCTGTCTCCAGAGTCACAGTTGCCACACTGAAGGAGCTGGTTCTGCCACCAAGCTGGAGGATTGGGCCCTGGGGAACCTTGGGTCCCAGAAGGTATCGGGCTCTCCTCCCTCTAAGCTTGGAAAGACACAAGGCTTGTGGTCTTTTGGAGTCAATCCATCCCAGGTTTCTCAGCTGCAAGTTGTGCTAAAAAGGATCTCAGGTCCACTGGAATTCCCAGCAACTGCTTCTAACTGACCATACTGTTATCCCATGCTCAGGAAGAGGCACCTGTCAGAAACCAGAGAGGGTGACTCAGCACTCTAGACCACACAGAACTAGGACTTGGACTCTAAGAAACATGGTCTGAGCATCTCATATATAGAAGGTGGGGACCCCATGAGGGGCATCAGCATGGGCCCAGCGGAAAAGTGCAAAAGTGTTCCGATATAAGACCAGTCCCAGAATGTCAACTAGGTCTTCCGTGGGAAGGGGGCTGGGAGTTGCACAGGGCAGGGGCATAGGGGTAGGGCTGCTCACCCTGCGCTTGCACAAGTGCTGGACTATGCGATCCGGCGAGTTGCCCAGCACGTGCTGCCGGAAGCGCAGCAAGGCGCACAAGAAGCCATCGCGAAGGCTGACAAAGCGCGCCTCCAGGTAGAAGGCGCGGTCGTCCCAGCCTAGCAGGCGGGTGCGCACCTCGAACCGCTCAAACAGGCGCAGCGAGCGGCGATAGCGCGCGCACGAGGCGGCCAGCACCGTGTGAGCGCCCAGGTCGCGCAGCGCCCCCAGCACACCGCAGCGGGTCAGGTGCGCGGCGCGCGCCACGTCGGCCTCGCGCAGGTAGCGCGCGTTGTTCATGTGCAGCAGCAGGTCCAGATCCGAAGGCAGCACCCGGCCCACGTACCGCTGCTCTGCTAGCAAGTCGCGGACGCGCGGCTGCAGCAGGCGTGCGCGCAGAACCACACAGGGCACGCGCACCAGGTACCAACCATCCAGCAGCGCGAAGAAGGCGAGCGCCAGGACTAAGGACGCCACCAGCAGCCCCAGCATCTTGGCAGCGGGCGCCCGGTGCCCAGGAACCCGGTGCAGGTGCCTGCTGCAGGCCTGCTCAGGAGCCTAGGAGCTCCGGGAACCGCTCGGAGCGCACCACCTCTTCCAGAAGTTCGAGGCGTGGGGGGGGGGCGCCGGAGGCAGCAGCGTTGTCTGCAGGAGTAGCGCACACGCCCGATCATATCCCACCCCCCGCGCGCGCCCTTGGTGGTGTGTTCCGCTCCTCCGCCAGAGCCGCTTTCGCTTTTCCCGGGGCGGGGCGAGGCGGGAACGCGTGGAGCAATACAGCGCCACCTGGCCGCTGCGCTGGGCGTTGCGGGGGCAAGAGCGACAGGGAAGCCTGCTCTCTCCTGCAATCCAGTAGCTCAAATGAGCATAACCAAAGATTTCCAAATCTTCCCTGGTGTAGCTGAGGAACTTTGCAAGGAAAACGGACAATGCTTCGCTATATATGCTGCTTCTGCGAGGCTGCCCGAGACCCACAAGCCTGCCCAGGCGTCCCGCTTCCGCAAAGTCCCTGGGGCACTGGATGTGGTTTAGAGTGCCTTTCAGTCCCAGTCTGCAGCCACATTACTTGTTCCCCAGTACTCACCCTCTGTCCGCCAAAAACTTGATCACCCTAAGCGCACCCCATTAATTATTCTACCTTTTACCTCTTTTAATGCAAATAGCATCCAAGATAGAGGAAAAGAACTGGGGTGTAGAGAGGAGTACGATGAATGCAAATGACTTGTCTATCTACTAAGCTAAAGGAGCCGGCCATGGTTTGTGGAATGCCAGTCCCTTTCCTTCAGGTTAGGGGAAAGTTTTGAGATCGGGCTGGGTGTCCTGAATAGCCTCCTGGACTTTGATAATCCTGCGTACAAATGACTAAACGGAGCCCAAGGATGGGTGGGCTGACTACGCTCCAGATGACCAGGGCTGAATTACTCCAACTGTCTCATACTGGGCTGGGTGGGTTTGCTGTGGTCTCTGTCCAGGGCAAAGTTCTTTTCTTTTTCGGTTTTGCTTCTGAGGACGGTGGATGTCACAGGGTCTTCTTGGACACTCCAAGAGGTAAGGGTAGCTCCAAATGACCTGGAAGAACCTTTCCCACACTTTGTTTCTGGGTAGGGGCAGCCTCTGAATAGGAAGAGAGTAAGGAATGCTTTTGGTGGCGTTGTTCAGAGAATGCCTCCAGGAAAGAGACCCACCACAGGTAACCTGTAATCAGACCTCTGAGGCCGGGAAAGATTTGAATGATCACCCATCCTCTGGGCCTCCACTGCTCCTATCACCTTGCTATGCTTTGAGCCTCTCTGCTGGCTGCTCTCCACACACTGTTCACCCTGCTACCATTTTTCTTTTCCCCTCTCCTAGCCTAGGCCACATTGCCAGGGTCCCCTCGAAGGGATCTGAGCACACCTCGCTGTAGTTTCAAGAATAAAGTAATGCTTGTCTGTTTCATAGCTGAACTCTGCCTGGTTGCCCTAACACACCTTGGTGTCTACAGGATTGCTCAATACACCTCTTTCTCTGCCAGCACCAGGTAAATAAGAGTGCTGGGTACAGAAGCTTCCCTCCAGGACTTTGGCTCTTCGAGGGCTCCTGTGTTTGCCTTAGAGCCAGGCTTCACCTCCAGAGGCAAGTCACCAATCGTTTTGTCCACCAGGGGGAACATAAGGCATGGGCGAAGGGCAGCCCCAGAAGGATAACCTGTCCTAGACCTTGCCCCGCCCATCCTTCCCTGGCCCTCACCTGCTAGATAGCTGAGATACACTGGAGGCAACTATGGGGAGTTAGAAGCCCATACCAGGTCATTAGTTTGGTCTTGGCACCCAGGGATGCCCTCTACTCCTTGGGGCACCTTCTGCCTTCTACTTCCCTCACCCTAACTCTAATAATTTATTACAGAGAAGTCTCCAGAGTTGGGTGAGAAGTTCCTTTGTCGCTCTGCTCCGGGGAACCTTGGACTGCAGGACCTTTTGGGCTCCAACCATAGGGAGAAAGAGACTCAGCTAAGGGGCAGCTGATGTGTGGTCCCTGGTGGGTGGAGTCTATCCAGTGAGGATGGTCATTCTGTATGAGCCAGCTCTGCATCCTCTGCTCTTTGTTCTCCCAGCTGTGTTAAGAGAACAAATATGTCCCCTGCTGTCCTGCAGGCTCCGTGGTGTGGGGTGGTTTTAGGGTGTCCAGAAGTGCCAAAGAGAACCCAGCCAAGCCTAGGTAACTGCTGGATGTTGTATGCCAGGAGCAGCCCTTGGGACCAAGCAGATGCCCTATAACTGCTGAGCAGATGGAGCCTTGTCCTCCACTATCTTCAGGGACCAGAAGGTCCCAAAGACTGTGCTGCCAGAAGTACCACCCTGAGCACACCCACTTGTGGTTGTTGTTGGCCCCAAGTCCTGCACCAATTTCCTAATAGGTGAAAGACTCCCAGATCTTTGGTGTCCTCTTGAAACACAGGGCCTCCTAGAGCCTGGACTCAGCTCAGGATGCTCACCTTGTCCCAGGGTTGAGAGGAATGCTTCCTGCTCGAGGTCATACACAAAGGCTGAAGGCATCACCTTCAAAGAGAGCCCTGTAGCCTCTGGCCAGGCTAACCCTCAGCATGACCCCTGTCCCACTGGGGTCCCAACTGCCACCACTGAACTATGGGACTCAAGTTCTGATGCTCGGCTCCTACACACCTAGGCCCTTCACTGATCCTCTATGTCCCCTGTGCAGGCACCCAAAGCCCACAGCCTGTGCTGTTGCTCTCTATTTAGGAATTTGAAGCTTTATTAAATAGCTGTAATCCCTGAGAGAGGGGTATGAAGCCCCAGTGACTGGCCACACATGCAAAAAGCCCTGCTGGGCACAGGGTGGAGGAAGGTACAGAGTGACACTTCCTTAACTTCCTCATGCAACTGTCTCAACACTGGCATGGGGAGGGGCATCAGCTGTAGAAACAGCTCCTCATGCAGATCCCCAACCAGGGTCCAGGCTATTCCCAGGTGTAAGACAGGGTTCCTTCCAAAGGTTTTTCCCAGGAATGGCAAGGAGGATATGTCCTCCTGTAGACAGCCCCTCACAAGCTTCTAATGACATGGACACAGACTCAGCAGCAGGAACTTGGGAGTGTGGGCTGAACACACTCCTGCGTGACATGGGGTTGGGGCAGCTGGCTGCCTGCTCCAAGACTCTTGTGCTTGTATTTCCTGTGTGCCTGAAACATGCAACTCTTAGAACAAAGGACTTTTGTTTTGAGGCAGGGTCTTGCTATGCAGCTCTGGCTGGCCTGGAACTGCTATGTAGACCAAACAGGCCTCAAATGCACAGAGATTTGCCTGTCTCTGCATCTCAAGCTCTGGGATTAAAGTGGGGGCCATCATGCCCAGCTAGAAAAAAAGTTTTGTAACTGAAACTGGAGGGAGCTGCAGAATGTTCTCCTTCCCAGGGGCTCCTCTTATCCATGGAAACTTGGGGCTTCCTTCCACTGGGAGGGCAGTAGAGGAACACACAGGACTCTGAGAAGCTTGGCTATGTGCCTGAGTCTATACAGCAAGGGCGGGTGTCCTGAGATATGCAGTCCTACCTCCTGCCAGGTGCCGCATATGTGTTCCTACCAAAACCAGACACTAACCCATAAGGTCAATGGCATGTCCATGACCCTTGATGGACATTGCCAGGCTCATCATGGGCTGCTTAAGGACAAAAGCTCTCTCCAACTTACCCAACAGTAATTTATTACAGGCCTACTGTGTTCTGGGTCTCTATAAACACAGGGCAGGTCTGCCTATCAGGCTCATCTCCTAGGACTCCCAGGACCTCACACCCACCTCCCAGCTTCATTTCTGCCCAGTCCATCTCATCTCAGCCTTCGCCAGGCCCTTCCCAAGAGCTGCTGTGCAGATTGGCTCAGCTCCTAGGGAGCAGGGTGGCCCGGGAGCCCTGTAGCAGAAGAGCCAGAGCAGAACTGGTGGGGTGGAGCAAAGCGCCAGCTGGAGAAATAGATGCAGCAGAGAGGAGGGAGAACCAAAAGGGGCAGGGCAAAGGTCAGCTCTGTTTGGATGTTAGGAGTTGTGGGGGGGGGGCATCCCTGCACAGTAGAGGCTCTAGTAGGGCTCTCCTAGAGCCTATAAATGGCTGGAACCCCACAGCAACAGGCTGCAGAGCACAGTAAGCAGCCCTAGGGTGGTGGTAGCCGGCTTCAGGGTGTGGGCCCCATTGACATTGCACAGGTCGGAGTAGCAGCAGGTGATGTTCTTCTTGCCCACGTAGTAGTTCTCAGCGTCATCCACACAGTTTGAGCTGCAACCTTTACTGATAACTGTCACAAGTCCAATGGCCCCTGGGAAGACAGATGGCAGTTTAGGTTAAAGACAGGACTTGATATTCACCTCACTGCCCCTGCCTCAGGGCCCCTTCCTGAGCATGCTAAAGCTCTAGACCCACCCCACTGAGTCCCAGAAATGTTTGTTGAATGAGTGAGCAGCGGGAGGAGGGGATAGTGTGCAGGAACGGGTAGAAGAGTTCTGGGATGGCTAAGCAGGAATGTGCAGATATATGGAGAGGTGGGTAGATGAACCGAGAGAGAACTGAGGCAAAAAGCCCAAGGTCTGGATAGTTTGTTGCTTAGCTGGAGAGGGAAGGAGGCTGAAAAGCAGGATAGTGGAATGGCTGGGCAGCAGGGCAGCGGGTAGAGGGGGACTCACGGACACGAGATGTCCAACAGCTGTTCTGGTCCTGGGTGCAGTTCTGCACATTGAGGCAGTCTTTGTTGCTCACCTGTGCTGTGCATGAATAGCACTGCAGGGCAGCACCTGTGGGTGAAGCAGGAGGTTTGAGGTTCAGAGGCTGGCCAGCTGCGCTTCAAGAGAGCCGTACAGATGCTCATCCCCACACAGAATGCACAGACACATCTCAGTCCCCTCCAGACTGCTGAAGCACAAGTCCAACAACCTCCAACACCCTTCACAGAGGTTCTGTGCCAGCCTGCAGCCTCTTGGTCACCCAAAGCCCTACTCACTATTTAGGAATTTAAAGTTTTGTTAAATACCTATGATTCCTGAGAGGTGGAAAAATCCCCACTGGCCACTAGGCTCAGGGGAGGTGCAGAGAGACACTGCCTAAACTTCCTCATGCTACTAGGCACTGAGGTCCACCTGTCTTTATTCCCTAAGCCAGATTGCCTCTCAAACCCTCCTAGATTTCTGCAATGCTCTGCAGCAATGGTAGGACCCTGCTTTGTGTCTGGAGCAAGTGGCCCCAGATGTCAAGTGTGGTGGTTGTCTTCTCTCTTTGAAAAATGACAAAGCTGGAGTTCAAGTCACATCTGTGGGAACAGATGTTAAACACATGACTTCAGTGGCCTACAAACTTTGTCCTGCTTAGGTCTCCAATGACCTTAGGGACTGTTCCCACCCACCACCACCATCACACACCTTCCTGGAAGAGGAAGCTGAGGCTTTGAGAGTATAGAGAGTATAATGACCTTCCTGGGGTCACTTGGTGGGAGGATCCAGCATGCTAGATCATCACAGGCTGCCCACCCAAGTAGACTCTTGCACTGGAGGCAAAGGTATCCAGGACAGATCCTTGATTTCCCTCTCAAGACATCCCAAGTAAGCCGGGCAGTGGTGGCACACACCTGTAATCCCAGCACTCAGGAGACAGAGGGAGGTGGATCTCTGCAAGTCTGAGGCCAGCCTGGTCTACAAAGTGAGTTCCAGGACAGCCAGCACTACACAGAGTAACCCTGTCTCGAGAGATAGACAGATAGATAGATAGATAGATAGATAGATAGATAGATAGATAAAGACAGAGAGGGACAGAGAAACAGAGACAGAGAGAGGCAGAGGCAGAGACAGAGAGAAACATCCTAAATACCCTTTCCTGCTCCGTTCCTCCCTCCTTGCCTCTGTGACTCTTCTCAACTTGAGACTTTTGGTCCCTGGGCTTCCCTGACTAAGGGCCAGTCGTACATCTGCCCCTCAGTGGCCTTTCTGGGAGCCTTTCTGTTCCTTCTAGCCTGCCTCTCACAGGACAATAGTGAGAGCCCTCACTGCAAAGCTGTTTTGGCTTTCTTGCTCCTCTCTGTCCTCTTCCCTTCTCTTGGGCCATCTTCCCCTCCAACATTTCTTCTTCATACCTTACCTAACTCTGCCCATGGCTGTCTAAAGCTTACCTGGCTGGAGGGTGAAGTAGGTGGCCACCAGGACAAAGAGGACAGCCTTCATGATTGCAGTGGGCAGCTGGAAGTGTGCCTCCAAAGACTTTATATGGCTTCAGCAGGTAGGGAGGCTCAGATGTCCAGTCAACAGTGACCGGTTCCCTGGAGCCTGTGAAAGCCCAGTGACCAGCCCATTCCAATCTGATCTCGCATACCACCCCTCCCACTGCCTTTGTCATTCTTTCTGGTGCTGGAGGGCATAGCCTACCCAGGGTGGGGCCACTGTCTCTGCTAGAAGTCCTTTCTCAGCCACCCACAGAACAAGGACTGGAAGTCCCAAGACACCCACACTGTGTCTGCCCTTCTCAGGAGAGTGAGGCCAGTTCTGAACACTACTTTCTCTACTCTCCAAGTCATTTGGCTTAGGACAAAGGCAACAGGCATAGTAGCAGTTTACTGCTACAAATGACAATGACTGGCTACTAGAAGGTGTCACTGAATAGGGGCTCTTCTGGGATTGTCTTTCTTGGATAGGGGCCCGAAGAACCAATGAGGAGTTAAGACAGCCATAAGAGCATGTCCTAGAGCATTGGAGTATGCTAGGCCCTGGACTAAGGAATCAATCTTCAGGACTTCTTTATCCCCCAACTTGGAACTTTAGCTACAAGAGATTCAGGAAATGCCGTTTCTAGGCCACCATTTGATATGTTCTGCTGTTCCCAGAGCCACCTTGCACACTGCTCTGTGGTCTGGGAGGCATCCAGCCTACAAAGCAGGGAGGGACAGAGGTCAGGCCATCTGTCCCTGTGCAGCCTCCTGCTGAGTTATAGTGCAGTGGCTATCTCTCTTTAGCAGAGACCATAGATCTTGTGGGCCAGTCTTCTTCAGCCAACTTGGTTCACAGTTTCCTTGGGATCCAGGGGTCCATTTCTTCCTACTGCTATGGGCTTTGGGGTGATTCATAGTCTTTGTTGCTTGTCTTAACCTGAGGCTCACCTACATTCACCATCCTTCTGCCAGGCTCTCTTGGTAATCTTGCTGGGCACACTGTTGCTCTGGCCAGATGCCAGTGTAGAAATGCTGGCCTTGGACACCATCCACTTGCCCACAACCAGGGACAGTGGTCTCTGATGTTCTTTTGCCCCTGCTGATAGATCCCTGACTACTCCTTCACCCTAAACATTCCCTGAAAACATCCTGGCATTTAAAGCATGGACAAGAGTTAAGTATTCCCCTCTAACCTCAAGGAACCACACCATACCCCAGCAATGCCAGGGCTATGCAGCAACCACAGATGGGCTTTACTTGTAGCTCCAGGCCCTCTGTGGTCTCACCTGTCTGACTCTCTAGCATTCCTGGGCTGGCTTCTTTTCCCTGGAAATTCTCTCCTTTGGCAGTATCTCCCATGGCTCAGAGAGAGGCAATATTCTACTCAAAGTCACATAGGCTGACAATACCCTCCTCTAAATGCTTTCCTGCTCTCTGCCCACTTAGAACTTCCTCTTGGAGCATCTCCTTCTGCCACAGGCCTCCCAGACTAGGGAGTGCTGTAAGTGTCCAAGCTTGGTTGTGTCCATGTACAGATGGCTGTCTCCCTGTTCTTACCCACTGAGATGGCTGCCCCTGGAGAGACCTTGCTTATCTATCTCAGCCCTGGAGGCACCGGCACCCAGCACCAGCTGTAACAGTCATTCCCCAAATATTTACAGGTGTGTAAATGTTTGTCGACCATGCTTGATATGAACTGAAATTCCAAAGGCAGTAGTTCTTTACTGGAGCAAGCCCCCTCTCCCCATATGAATGCCTAGAGGCAGTTCTGTAGGCTCAGTCCAGTGGGCACAGGCCAAGATCTTCTCAACACCCACAGTGCCAGAACCCCTTGGAACCACTGGGCCCAACATACCAGTGGTGTTCAGAGAGGGAGCTCTGGCCAAAGGGTGGCCTACTGGCCTCACCTCATGTCAAACATTGAAGACTATGACTACTATTTTCCTACAGCCCCACCTCACACCACAGGCTTAACTCTGACCGCAGCCTAACACTGAACACTTATTCTGGTGACCCTAGCCCCCAAATATGGCAATATCATGGTCACACCCTGAGTCCTGGCTATGTCCAGACATGAGCTTGATCGTGATCATATGCTGGTCCCTGATCCTTGATACACACCGAGCCCTGATCCTGGTCACTCTACCTAATCCTAGACACACAGTGAGCTCTGCTCCTGCTCCCACAGTGATCCTGACTCTGGTTGCAAGCTGATTGTTGACCCTGCCCACACACTGAGTCTTGATCCTGGTCACATTGCGTGGTTACTTTAGCCACATATTGAGTAGTTGACTCTACTCACACACTGAGACCCAGTGCTGCTCATACACTGAGCCCGATTATGGATACAGTATGAGACCTGATCTCAGTTACACACTTAGCTCTGAACTTAATGTCTGGCTAACCCCTAACCCTTGCCCTTCGTGCTTAGGGCATGCACTGAATGCAGCCTTGTAGCCTGAACTAAGCATGGTGGTACACTTCCTGAAAAAAGCCTATCACAAAGGGCATACTCCTTCCAAGTCACTCCAGGAGTGAATGTGGTCTGGCTGTGACCTTGACATAGTTCACCCTTAGCCTGGCTCCACTACCTGAGTCTCTAGTTTTTCTTGTTCTCTCTTTTCCTCTCTCCCCACCACAGCCCATCACACTCCCTGGAGAGCCTGCCCGTTCACATAGCAAAGAAGCCACTGTTCTTTGGGTGTGGATTCTCAAAACTATGCCTTTCCATTAGACCCCTACCTCTTCTTAGGGAGCCATCACAGGGCCCCTTGATGGTATACAAATCATAGTTGGGTAGAGTTGTAATTTTGTACAGAGATGGCCTTTAAAAGCAAAGTCAGCATGTGGAATGTAAAACCACAACTGATTTCTGTTTATGCCACTGCAGGTCTTTGGAAACATGGTCCCCCAGATCATGAGTATGACATGTGCAGCTAGACCTCCAGGAAGCTGGATATCATGTCCCACTAAGGTCTCCATGTTGAATCCTAGAAGTCAAAGCCACTCCTTGCATGCTCTGTGTGTGATATGTTGATGCTATGTGAAAGAATATGGGTACAGGTCAAATGTACATTGTGCATTGTGAGAGTGAGTACATGTGCTGGCATACCCTTTGGACAGTGGAGTGGGGGCTTAAAACTCCACAGGCCCTGCTGCATCCTGGGGCATGTCCTAGTTTTAATTTCCATGGTCCCTGCTTACCCAGAGGTGATTATTTTCCTCAGCACTATTCATGGCTCTGTCTGCAACACCCCCTTCCCACGAGCTCCCAGCTGTCACAAGCTAGCCTTCTGCTTTAACTCTTTTAGAAATGTCCCTGACTTTCCTGTTTTTTTTTCTTCACATGCCTCCTTGGAGGCAAGTCAGTGAGACAGGGAGGCCTGAGAAAGGAGGAAGGGGATGCTGGTGATTTCTCCACTTGAGTAGCAGGCACCCCTGTAGTCCAAGCCTCCTCCAAGCAAAGGCTTACAGGTAGTGTGAACAGTCTTGCAGGATGATCCAGGAACTTGGAAGATGACTGAGGTGAGTTAGACTATGATAAGTGGTCTGCTCAGACTGACTCTTTCCAATGCCACTTTAGATAAGTGGGGAGGGGAAGTCTGGCAGGTGGAGACTGCAATGGCACAAGTCTCATGCCAGGGCTTAACTCATGGGTTAGTGGGAAGGAGCAGAGGGGACCTCTTAGTCCCAGGTCCAAGGGAACACCAGTCTTTCTCTATGACCACTTCCCCACAACTAAAATAAACTCAGCCTTTGAGATATGACCGATAAGACCAAATGTCCTGGAGTCATGTGCCAAGCTCCACTTCCATGCCAAGCTCTGCCACTAGAGAAGTGTGTGATCCCCGCTTCACAAGGTGGCAGCAGAGAGCCACATTCAGGGGCAGAGTCCAGAAAAATGTCAGAAAGACTTCTTGGGGTCCTGGGTTCCAGACATACAGTATGCCTGGAATCTTCTGTGACTCAGTTTCCTTCTGCATTCCTCTGCATTTGATTCTGTCATTCAATTCATAATCCAGAGTCATGTGCTTTAGGACAATGGCTGTCCCAAGCCATTGTTGGAGGACAGCTCACAGTACAGCAGCAACAGCTGACAATAAGGAAAAGGCAAAACAACAGGACCAAGGAGGAGGCGATAGATGGTTAGGGCATAGGCCCAAAGTCAGGCAGGTGGGGGCAGAGGGGAAATCCAAAGGATGGATTCTGGGGCAGGGCTAATCAGAGCTAGTCCACTGGATGTGAGGGAGAGTTTAGAGTGATGCTTAGTGAGTGGGGAAGTAGAACTGCCAGGAAACACAATGGTTTGGGGTGGGGGAGCCAGGATTGTCAGGAGGCACCTGATCTCCATTACAGAAACACTGTCTTGAGGTGCATGCGGATAGCCATGTCCAGGTGCTGGACAAAAGACAGATGTGTGGACATCAGGGAAGATATTCTAGGAGGCATGGGTTTGGGAGCCACCCAGTCTTTCGTGGTATTAGAACTCTAGTTAGGAGATGTGAATGGGGAGAGCAAAGGATCCAACAAGAGAGGATGGAGAAGAGCAGGCAGGGTCCTGGGTGCTCAGGCAAGGGTGTGAGTTTAGGAGGAGCAAGTTTCCATCGTCTGTGTTTCTATGACACTGTGACAAATCACCCCAGTGTGGAGGCCTGCAACACAATTCTGTTTTCTCACACTTCTGCAGGCCTGGGTAATGAGATCAGAATGTCACCAGGGTTGTATTCCAAGAGAGAATGTTTCTTGGTCTTTTGGAGCTCCCTAAACCACTTGCACTTCTTGGTTGGTGGCAATCCTTCATCTTCAAAACAGCACCCAGCCTCTGTTGTCCTTCACCGGCTTCATTGCAGTGTCTTCTCTCGTTGGATACTTTAACAAACATTCCGGTATGGTTCACATGCAAAATGACTCATCTCATGTCTCCCAAAGCCTCCACGGTGCATTGCACTACGTTTCAAATCTGATCTTCAAAATCGTCTAAATTGGGAAGATTTTAACTAGTTATAGGAGGGGTCCACAGGGATGGAAAGGGATCCTGACAACCTGGGGGCCTTGGAAACCTCCCACCACAAGGTGGCGCTGGATTTAGCATCCAGTCCATGCTCTCCCGGCCATGGCTCTTAGCACCGGACACTCAGCCCGGGCTTCCGCTCTTCATGAATGCGCGGTTCCCTCTGCCCTTCGTCGTTCTACCGACTGGTGAGCAGCCAGGCCGGGGCTGCTCCCTTGCTCAGCCGCAGTGTAGCGAGCTAGGCACCACTGAGCTAGAGGCCTCCGGATGGTCTAGAGCGTCCCCGGAAGTGGCTCGGGGAAGGCCGCGAGGAGCGGACCGGTGGCGAGCTGCGTGGCAGGCATTTCCGGCCGGTAGTGACGGCTCGAGGTCCACAGGTGAGTGGGGCCGGCCTGGGCCGGGCCGGGGCCGTAGCCGCTACTGCGAACTGGTTGGAGGCCGGGCCCACGCTCCCGCTCTTGAACCGGAGGCGCGTTGACGTTTCTCCGCCCAGAGCACCTGGGAATCGAGTGGCGCTCTGGACTGGTGGATTCCTTCTCAGGGGTTCGGGTCCCCTCGGCTCCCATGAGCTCCACCAGCACGCAGACCGGGCAAGCTTGGTTGCTCCTCTTCTCCCAGGACCCTTCATTCATTCGTCTCTTGCCTGTGTCGTCAGGGCTGCAGCCCGATGGCAGGTTGTTTCTTACACCCGCCCTCCAGATGCCTCAGGACCGACTAGAAAAAAATTTGCCTCTCCACTTAGGATCTTACACTCCCCCGCCTCACACCCGAAAAGTAGTTCTTTACGCCTCTGTTCAGGTGGCACTGGGTTGTCAGTGCTCCCTTTGAAGTCCCAAGTTTAGAAGCCTCCCGAATTTCTGCAGCCACGTTTAGGAGGTTCTAAGAGTGGTACAAGATTCAAATTTTCCCTCTCTTCCTCATTTCCCTTTCTTCCTTCGTAGAACTCACTGGGTAATGCAGGCTGGCCCTGTACTCGAAGCAGCGCTGCCTCTGTCTCCCAAATGCTAAAATGACAGGTTTGAGCTACCATACTCAGCTTGGCAAAATTTCATTTCTGTGTGGGTGTATTCATCCACTTAACCACTCTCTACACATCTGTAGGGCAGGCACCAAGAGACAGCCATCATGAGCTGAGCCTCCTATAAACCTCTCTGTCCCTCAGGTTGCTTCAGAGTTTCTCAGCTCCCTGGTTTGTTATTAAATATTACCCCTGAGAGTAGACTGTGGCCTTGAGTTCCTTCTGTTCCACAGTGAGGTGCACACAGCAAGTGGTATGCACACTGCCCTCACTGTGACTAGAATGGGAGACCCTTGGGGACCAGTACCAAGTCCTGAAGACCAAGAGGCTGGCTGGAGAGAAGCTGACATACCCTGTGTATCTTTGAAACTCTCACACATCTGAATAAATATCTCTTACATTGTGGTCTTGGGTGCACTTTTGTGCTGCTTGTGGAAGTAACCCTGTACCTTCAGATTCATCAAATGCTTCATTGAAAGAAACCACCCAGATAAAGTTTTCAGAGCAAGGGGGAGGGGGTGCCGGGAAGTCAGAAGCCATTTTGAATGCATTGCCAAGGACTCTTACCTTTTCTGGACAGTTATGAAGGTTGTTGGTGCTGCTTGCTCTGTGGTCTGCAAGGAAGGCCTAGTTAACAGACTGGATAGCAAACCCCGGTCCAAATGGCACTGGTGTTTGAGGTGATGTTTTCCAGTGACTCTAAGCCCATTTTGAGTGTTCTTAGTAACCTTTCTCCTCTGTTTTCCAGCTCCTGAAATGTATGGGTAAGCAACATTGTGAATCCTGATAAGAAGTATTCCCAGCTCAGAAATCTGGATACTGTTGACGGGGAAAGCTGCTACCTCTTGCCATCTATGTGAAGACTCAACTACGCCCAGGAGTCTAGGGTAACTCAACTCTGTTCACCTCTCCTGAAGAGAACAGTAACTGACTATACTACTAGGACCCGAGGCCCAAGTGTGCTGGAGCCTCGATATTAAGGGAGACCGAGGCAAGACACTGCTGTAGGCAGAGAGCAAAGCCAAGAATGAACCTGGCTTGAGCGTAGGATCAATCCTGTGTGAAGACAGAGAAGAGAGGGAGAAACTGTGGTCCAGGGAGCCAGGGAAACATAGGCAGGGAAGGACAGGCACAGCCTATCCTAGACCACCTCCTCATGGCCTCCAAGCAGGATGCAGCGAAGGGCAAGGGGGAGAAGCGGAAGCGAGTGGTGCTGACCCTGAAGGAGAAGATTGACATCTGCACTCGGCTAGAGCGTGGTGAGAGCAGGAAGGCACTGATGCAGGAGTATAATGTGGGCATGTCCACTCTGTATGACATCAAAGCCCACAAGGCCCAGCTGCTCAGGTTCTTTGCCAGCTCCGACTCTCGCCAGGCCCTGGAGCAGCGGCGTACCCTGCACACACCCAAGTTGGAGCATCTGGACAGAGTGCTCTACGAGTGGTTCCTGGTAAAGCGTGCTGAGGGTATCCCTGTGTCAGGTCCCATGCTCATTGAAAAGGCCAAGGACTTCTACAAGCAGATGCGGCTGACAGAGCCCTGTGTGTTCTCTGGAGGATGGCTTTGGCGTTTCAAGGCCAGGCATGGCATTAAAAAGTTAGATGCCTCCAACGAGAAGCAGGTGGCTGACCACCAAGCTGCTGAGCAGTTCTGTGGCTTTTTCAGGAGTCTCGTGGCTGAGCATGGACTATCTCCTGAGCAGGTGTACAGCGCTGATGAGACTGGTCTGGTCTGGCGGTCCTTGCCGAATTCTACCACGGATGATGGAACTGTACCCCGCTTCAAACAAGCCAAGGACAGACTGACTGTCCTAATGTGTGCCAATGCCACAGGCTCCCACAGACTCAAGCCCTTGGCCATTGGGAAAGGTGGTGGCCCCAGAGCCTTTAGAGGTATCCAGCACCTGCCTATTGCTTACAAGGCCCAAGGTAATGCCTGGGTAGACAAGGAGATTTTCTCAGACTGGTTCCATCATATTTTTGTTCCCTCAGTGAAAGATCACTTCAGAACCATAGGCTTGCCTGAAGACAGCAAGGCAATTCTCCTGCTGGACCATTCCCGGGCTCACCCACAAGAGTCTGAGCTCATGTCAGAGAATGTCATCACTATCTTCTTGCCTGCCAGTGTGACCTCCTTACTGCAGCCCACAGAGCAAGGCATTCGCAGAGCCTTCATGAGGCTCTTTATTAACCCTCCTGTGGCCTTGCAAGGTTTTCCCACCCGCCACAGCATGAACGATGCCATAGTCAATGTGGCCTGTGCTTGGAATTCTGTGCCTAGCCGGGTCTTCAGGCGGGCGTGGAGGAAGCTGTGGCCTACTGTCACATTCGCAGAAGGCTCCTCCTCTGAGGAGGAAGCAGGGCGCTGCAGCATCAAGCCTCACAATAAGACTTTTGCACACATCCTTGAGCTCGTCAAAGAAGGGCCCTCTTGTTCTGGCGGTAGGCTTCACAGCAGCAGGGCGGAAGAGCAAGATGTAGCAGGGAGGGACACGGATGAGGCCTCTGCCGTTGTGGCACTGTCCCAGGCTACTGGGCATGCAGGAAAGGCAGAGACAGGTGCTGGTGACGATAAGGAGGCAGCCTGGGAGCAGGCAGCCGCATCCTTTGAGACACTTGTGCACTTTGCGGAGCAGCAGCCGTGTTTCACTATGCGAGAAGTGGAGCAGCTGCAGGCACTGCACACGGTGTTCAGGAGACAGCAGCAGTTGAGGCGGCCCCGAGTGGCTCTCAGGGCTGTGATCAAACTTGAGGCCCTTCAGGAGCACCCTGGTGTGTGTGTGGCCACAACCCACTCTGCTTTGCCCTGCCCATCCACGTCAGGTGACAACTGAAGAACCCTGCAGCTCTGTTCTGTACCATGTTCAGCTGTGGGGCTCAGACTGCCTGCTAGGCAGGAGACAATACTCAGACTAGAGCAAGCACAGACTCAAGCCCTAGGAGCATGGCTCCTTGTTTACACAGAGGGCTCCTTTTGTTCTGGCTAGTGGTTTTACTTTATCTGCTAGGACAGGAGTGTATCATTTGAATGACAGGAGACCTGTGCTCTCTCCCTTAGCACTCTGGAGCCTCCCCTAGCTGCAGCTGGGTCAAGTGGGCCAGATTTGCCTCTGGTTTTGGAAGACTGGGCCACATTATCAGGTTGAAGTGCCTTGAGGGGTGTATCTCCAGCCCTGGGGAGGCTGGCTTTCCGCAACCAGTAGCCCCCAAGCTGAGACCTGAGGGCACTGGCTTCAGCTCCTGACCTCAGTGCTCACATCCCCACTAATAGTTGCATTGGCACATGCCATCCTCTTGGTCTGAACCCACCTCAGCCATGGACAAGCAAGTTCAGTGGTAAGACTCTGTAGTATTCCTGTCTGCAGCAGGCCCCCATGTCTAGGGTCTGGGTTCCATGGAGACACTGCATGCTAGTTTTAGCATTGCTCAGAGTCCACCATGTGTCCAGAACTCTGTTCCCAGAACTTGGAAGTAACAGCCTTTATGTGAACAGTTTGCATGAAATCACAGTGCAGTACTTGGTGACTCGGAGCTCAACAGGGGATAGGCAGGAAGCATATGGAAGATGCTTCTGCACCATTTGGTTCCTGACCTTGGAGATAATGGGTAGCACTGTGGTTGCTGTGCCTGTGACTCCCAGAGCCCTTTGTCTGCAGCCATTAACTCTTCCCCGTCATGGCTTTGTCCTTGACCTCCACTGCTTTTGGGATTCATGTAACTGAATTACCACAGTTTTCATTCCAGTGTTCAGCTGCTGCTTCACCTAGAGACTTTTGCCTGTGGAACCTCTGATAGCCAGGGGGCACTTGGGAACTGTTGGTTTGTGTTTCTATGTCTGTCCAAACACTAAGAATGGCTGTTGCAGACAGCTCTAGTTGTGGCTGGATGCCTTCTTGCTTTACATGCATGTGTGAACATTATAACCAGGTTGTTTTTAGAAGTCTGTGGCTGATTCTTCAGTCCCTATGGACAGGGGTCATTCCACTTTTTCTGTGTGTCTGGGTGACATCTGTATGTTCATGTGTTGTGTTGTGTCTAACTCACTGTGGGAACTACTGTGTTATTGTTGCAGCTACTTAAGCTGCTGCAGGTCCAAGGTTGGAAGTCACACTTGCCTACAGCATCAAATGATGGACATGTGGAGGGGGAAGTCCCTTCCTGAGAGGATGGGATAGGGCTGGGGGAACTCCTGGGTCCATAAGCCTTGTACCATCAGACTACATTCCAGGACCAGTGCTGGCTGAACTTGAGGACCTGCTCCAGTTGTCACCTACTAGATTTGTGGTGTCTGTCCCTGGGGCACCTTCCAAAACAACCAAGGTAGGCAGGCCCCTTTGTCTTCAAAGATCCAAGACAAAGGCCAAATGTTCTGCCTTCTCCTACAGCCATTGGCAGCTAGCTTCCTTGAGGCTTGTCCTAGAGGTGCAGACCTGGGGAAGGGGTATCAATTCCCTGAGAGCCTGCATTTCTGTACTGCCTTCCATGTATACTCTGAGCATGCCTAAGGCACTCCCTCTTAGAACCAGCCTCTTAGAAGCCCAAGCAGTCCAGTGTATTGGCCTCAGAACTCTGAAATGGTAGACACGTTGTGTCGGGTATAGAGAGAGACAGTCCTGGCAGGACCCCATTCCCTCCCCTTTGCCCAGTGGCCAATGAGGTGCTCAGAAAGCCCTGAGCTCTCCTGGGAATAGTGTGCTCTAGTCCCTCCATATACTGTCTGCTTTCTGCTGTGCCTCCCAGATACCTGTGTGGCTCAAGCTGGCTCAGAACTGGCAGTTCTGCTGCAGCCTCCTGTGCTAGCTAGCATCATGGGCACATGATGTGCTTGGCTCCTTCCTGCTTCCTACCAGGAGTCAGGCTGTTGTTCCATTGTCAGATAGACCTTGGGCACTGCAGTGTCACAGTCCCCACCAGCATAGCTTTTTCTCCCTGTATATTTGCTAGAGACCCTCCACATCACCTCTCAGAGGTGATGGAGATGGTCCTTATGAGGGCCTGGTTAGGACTGGTCCCCACCCCCACCAGTATTTGCTGCTTTGTGGAAGAGCAGAAGCAGTCTGTCACAGCCATGTGTGTTGTCTCAGAAGTACATCCACAGCAAGACAGGAAGTCAAGCCTTTGTCCTATGGGAGGAGAGTGGTGAGCAATGGGTGGCCAAGTTGGTGGGTTAACAGGGTGAGTGGGAAGAAGAGGCTGCTCCCCTGCCCAGTCACCGAGGGTTAACTATTGGGAAGCTGCTCAGGCCCTTCATGGCCAGCTGCAGTGGACCTGAGTACCATGTGATCTCAGAAAGAGGCTGGGTGGGGTCTGGAAGAGGATCCTGGGTGGGGCTATGATGGCTGCTGTCACCTCCTTCCTTAAGATTGGATCCAAGGGAGGGTCCACATCTGTAGGAGTGGAAGCTGGGGCCATCCTCTTGTGATCCTGGCCCTCAGAGAGAGTACACCCTGAACTTAGCAAGGTGGTAGCTGTGATGTGTCAGGGAGATAGTGGGGCTATGGTTCTGAAGTGGACTGCCCTTGGTCCTGGCTCCAGCTCATTCACATGATGGCCCTTTGCCTGCCACCAGAGCATTCCTTGCATCTCCAATGAGTGTCATGCTGTCCTTAATTATGGGACAATAGGTTTTTAAGTAGGGAGTCCAAGGCTCCCTGTTGAGTGGCAGGGACAGCTGCAGCTTGCCTTATTTTAAGGAATTAATTTGAGATTATGTTGTTTGTGGTTCCAAAAATGCAACCCCCAGCTCTTCTCATCCCTTACTATGTGTTTAATATCAGAGATTTAAGCTCCAGGGGAGGGAGATAAACCAGGGTGTGGTGTCCTTTGGGGGAGCGTCCTCAGATTGGAAAGCCATGGAATCTTTTGTATGATGAGGAGAGGGTATGCAGGGTCCTGAGGTCCAGATGCTGAAGCCTCTGGGTGGGGTTGATATAACTCCCTTTGTAGGACTCCTAGGCCAAGGTTATCCTCCCACTAAATGCCCTGCCCCCTGTCCAGTACCCTGACTGCCTCATGCTCTTGCATCCCTGACATTACAGCCTCAGCCTTTACCCCTGGCCCAGCGTTAGCCTGTGAAGGAGCTTGTCCAAAGAGGTGGAGAGCTTTGTGCCCAGCTCACAAAGGACAGGAGGTAGACAAGACAAAAGTTGCATTCTGTGGCTAACTACATGAATAAAAGGCCTCCTGTGGAACTCAAGCACCACCCGATAAAACCGTGTCACCACCTGCCATCTCTACTGATAGTAAATTCACCATGCACTCCTCAGCCATTGCAGCCCTCATGCCCGTGTTCTTTGTGATCTCTGAGTCTGGGCTGGCAGCTGCCCAGAGTACCAAATTGCTTCTGTCCTACCACTGGGGACTCGCATGTGCCCTATAGTCTGGGTTTCCTAGGAAGCAGGCCACAGTGAAGCTTGGAGCTTCTGGGCTGTGGCCTTCTGCAGAGGATTCTGGGAAGACTGGAGGAATACCAGACCATGGGGTATCATGGATACCCAAATGGGCAGAGAAGAGGCATGAGGAAGGACAGACACTAGGGGGCCCTCTACCCAAATGGGCAGAGAAGAGGCATGAAGGACAGACACTAGGGGGCCCTCTACCCAAATGGGCAGAGAAGAGGCATGAGGTAGAACAGACACTAGGGGGCCCTCTCCCTGCATGCTATCTCTGTACAGACCTGAAGCCAGAAAGTTTGTCCACTTCTGTGAACAAGACCGTGTGCTAAGAGACTGTAGCCCCTGACTCATTCTCCCAACAGGAACACCCACATCTCTCCCAGTCCTATAAGGCTAGGTAGGTTTATTATTGCTGAAAACTGCACAAACCCCCAAAAGTTTCCATCTATTTGTTTTAGTAGTAATTCTACATGAAACCTGATCATGTAGGAGACTCCATAAAGCCTTGGGCATTCTTCAGCAACCTGCCTGTCCCCCTTCCTGGGACTCCTGTCCTGGTAAGCATTTAAAGAGTACTCCCGACTGAAGATGCCTGTAGCACTCTACTTTGGCTGCCTGGTCTCTATATACTCTGTCAACTCTGTGTCGGGCTTCACACTGTAGCTTGGCCACTATGCCACCTAGCCACAAGGTGACTCGGTTGGTTAAGCAGCTTCTCTCCTGATGGGGAAGCCAGGCCCTTGGCTGCTGTTCTGGTCAAGGACTTCTGAGACTTTCCTAATAATTGGATTTTATTTGCTGACATTAAGTGGCATGTGGGCTGACAGGCCTAGCTTCTTACTTGATAAATGGGATCAGAATGTCATTGTGAGTCCGTTAAAAGCTTTAGAAAGGATAGTTATGCCTGTCACTGTGCCTAATATCTAACCCTGTGCCAACCTCTGCAGGCCTCCATCCAGTGTCGTCTTTTACTTCCCCTCTCAATGGCCTGAAACCATTCACATCTGGCAGAAATCTTCTGTGGCTTTCTCACTGCATCTGCTACAAGTCTGTGTAGGGCTGGTGCCGCAGTAAGGCTGTGGGTCATTTGAATATTGAATCATGAAGGTTCTGTTTGGTGTTACAATCCAGAAAATTGTGTGGGGTCCCTGTCTATGAGGCCTCACAGAGAGGCATGGTCCCTGAAGCAGAAAGAGTAGAGGCTGATGGGACAGGTGGGAAGCTGCTGTTTAATGAGGCCAGAAGTTCTGTTTTGTAAATGTGTAGTGATGGCCACACAACAGTGAATGCAGTGGTGGCTGAAATGTTGACTATTCCTGGGCATAGGCTGTGCTGAATTCATTTCATTTTATAACAAGAGTTTTCTTACATCACTTTGCAGATGGAAAGCCTGTGGCCTGGAGGAGCTGGGTCCTCCGTGTCAATTTACCTAAGCTCCCACTGTGGAGATGGGCAGCCTCTAAGCCTCCTAAATCATTTTGTGGTCTGCTCATTGCCCCTTGGAAGTCATACCCTGTAGATGGAGCCATCACCCAGCCTGATGGATGGATATAGGCAGTGGGCCTCAAATGGGTCTAGGGCCTTTTAATGAGGGCAAGATTAGGCCTTGGGTACTTACTCATCTGGGGCTGAAATCATATTCTTGTCAAGCAGCTCATCCACCAGGACCACATTTCAGAAACTTCCAGAATTGACTTTCTGTCCTTTCATCCCCCCACAACAGAAGTGTTGCTCAGGGCAGGCAGACATCAGTGGTGCCATTCAACCTCCCCAGGGTGGAGAGGTCATCATGGATCTCTACTTAACTGGTCTGGCTCTGCTGAGCACAAGGTAGGGCCTCAGTCCCTCTTGGACACTTGGTGATTCTCAGATGCTTTGCTCCCCTCCATTTTCTCCTTCAGTATTTATTGAGCACTTTCTGTGTGTTAGGTCCCAGCATTGGTACCGGAGTCCCTTAAAGGTCCTAGAGAAATGTGAGAAATGTGAACCCAGAACAGCCATGTGCTTAGGGGCTGATAGTAATGAGACCTTTGTCCTGGTGACGTCAAGGCCCAGGAATCCATCCTGGCTCCATGTCCCATTAGGCTTGGGCAAGGTGAGGATGTCTCTCTCTGGGTAGATGATGGAGTAGGGTGGTCTCAGCTTCCAGGGGCCACTATCATTACCCATGAACTGGGACCAATAGCCAGTTCCATTTAGACTGTCTGTCCCCTTTCATCCTTTGCCTGGGGGCAGGCCTGTCAGCCACACAAAGGCTTTGCTAGCAATACCACAGTGGAATTCAGACCACAGGCCACCAATCACAGTCCTCTTGGCCTTACTTAAGTGCAGGTCAAAGTTTCTCTCACTTTGGAGAGAATGAGATACCAGGCCACAGAAGGCAGGTGCTCAAATTCCTGAGGCCTGGCCTGGCTTTGTCATGGCTGCCTTGCTCTCTTCTCACCTGGGCCCACATAGGGAGGATAAAGGACCATTCAGGGATGGGCAGGATTTGGGCCAAAGCAAGGGACTTGCTGAATGTCCCCAGAAGAATAGCCCAAGGAAT